ACTTCCTAAAGGTCTCGGGATTGGCTTCGCTAAGCTTATAGCGACGGAAGATACGCTTAGCCGTAGACTACGGTAACCCTTTAAGGAGTAGCCTCGTTCTCTAAGAATTCTCGAGGTCCTACTAGTCGATGCCGTCCGCTAACTTAACAAACTCGCGGACGTACTCCTTTAGGTCGTTATCTTCGGTGCGCCTCTCTGTATAGAGGTTCTTAAGCTACGTACGACTGCCTTTAATGCGACGGCTGTCGCGATCCCGATACTCCCTTATAAAGGCCTGCTTAAAGACCTCCTAGTCGGCATTAGACTTGTCGTCCTTTTCTAGGTAGCCAACTAGGGTTCTAAGGGTTCGGTAAAGCTTAGTAATAGTAGTCCTCGTAAGGGACCGGACCTTGTACTAGTCCGACTCCTCTTCGAGTCCGTACTCGGCTAAGTTGTCCTTAAAGCGTTCTACGTACGCCGTAGCGTTCTACCCTTCGAACAGAGGGTTCCTACTGCTTCCTAGCTCTAGCGGGCGACGCCTGTTCTAACGGAGAAGGTTAGTTTGCCCTTAAATCATCTTTATAACGATATTGTAGAGGGCCTCGGGCGTAGAAGGCTCGACAGCCCCTAGTTTGATAGCGCTTATAACAACTAGTCGTCGCCTGATTTCTTCGTTAATAGGGTCCGGTAGGTTATTAGATTCCGAAGATTCCGCTAATTCGTAATGCTCGCTTTCGCTAGAGCTTATTCGATTGTTATAAAGTGGTTAAAATGAAATGCTATAGGAAAGTGTTTTTAGTATGTGTTGTAGGTTTAGTTTGTTTCGATGTTGCTATACGAGAAAATGGTATGCTAGGCTGTTTTCTTCTAATGTTACCCCCGGGGTAGCATTAGAGTTTGGCCTCCTAGGGGTCGCCTACACACCCCTAGGAGCTGAGTTTAGTATTAGACGAAAGCCGCTCGGAGGGAGAGACTGCAATCTCTATTTATACCTAGATCCTAGAAACTAGCTCGTATCTCCTTTAGCTAGGCGGGGGGGCGGGGACCTTCTTTTTCTAGTAGAAGGCTAAGTACTGTCCGAACGAGGTAGCGAATCCCGAAACAATCTACCCGGTTAATAGGGGAACTGTCTAGGCATCCGACCTGCAATCCAGAAATTGCTATCGTATAGATAGTCTTAGCAAACTAAGCAAGGCCGATAGGTAATTAGTCTATCTCCTCCTTAGGCGTACGGTAGCTTATCTCGAGTAAGCGGTACTAAATAGGTCTTCGACCCGGAGCCGAGTCCTTAGAAGCTAGCTATAGTTATAGACTAGGCCCTAAGCTGTAATAGTCCTAAGGGTTTGCAGCTTTTCGGGGTTAAAGCGATGCCCTCGTTAAGAGGTTTCTCTGCTTATCGTAACGGCCCCTTAAGATACTTCGGTATCGTCCGTATCGTAGGCTCTTATCGTACCCTCGCTTCGGTTATAGCTATTCGTGCCTAGAGACCACCTTCAATATACCCGAACCTGTTAGATATAAAGAGATAGCCCTACCTTCGGCTCTAATAAAGGACGGAAACTAACACTACTACTACTACTCGTAGCAATAGTATAGGCTACCGAGGGTAACATAACCTATAGCAATATAAGCAGCTATATTTAGCAAGATAGGATAACGAGACTGTCGCTTAGGCTGATAACCAGAGCCCTGCAACATAGGCATTGTGGAAGTGTAACATAAACAATGTGCTGTACGAGGTTGATAATCTGTCTACTCTGTAGAAGGAGGCCTCTTATATAGGCTCAAAACTAGCCTATGGGTGTGGGGCCGGTTACTAGCCAATAATAGTAAGGCAGAAAAGCGCAGTATTCCGTTGCTAGAGATTATAAAGCAAATTGGCCCTTATTTATAGAATTCTAATCGGCCTATAGTATTATTCTTTACGAAGATGATAAATAAGTTTATCGGTAAGCGCGATATCTCTACCTAGGAAGCTTACTACTAACTACTCGGTCTACCTTTGTCTTAAGGCTTACGTACTATACAAAACTTCGATTGTCGGCTTCTATAGTACTAGTCCAAAGTCAAGCGGTACGATAAGCAAGCTAGTGAGATCGTTACTTAGAGCTAATTACGACGAAGAAGAGTTCTTTACGTAGTAGGAGGTATATAAATAGTGCAGTAACAACTATACTAGTCACGATTTTGACTACTTTAGCATCAATCTTCTAATCCTAGCTAAAGACCTCTTCGAAGAGGAACACTACGAGCCTAAAGAGGAGGAACTAGAGGGCGAGCTTCTTGCCCGTACTCTACCTAACCGTAATCCTGCTAAGGAGGATAAGGATCTAAACAACCTTAGCAATCGTTAACTCGACAAGGATTACGATTAGACTCTATATGTTAGGAAGTATAGCATTAGGCACCTTAAAGACTAGTAGAAGAATAAGCGCGGTATAGGCATAACTTATTAGAAGATCGGCACTATCGCTAACTACTAGCAGAAGGTTAATAGCCTCTCTCTAGAACAGCGCCTTTAGTATAACCGCATCTACTTATACGCTAATAAGATAATTAATAGTGCAACTGTACTAGATCCTATCTTACTTAATATCGATAGCAAAGCAGGCGTCGGCAAGTCCTATATAATTAAGCTACTCTCTTCTGCTATCGAGGAAATAGCCTAATAGTAGGATGCTACTAGCGCAGGCTACCAACTTAGCAACCCTGTTATACGTATTGCCCCGACCGGTGCCGCTGCCTTTAGTGTTAAGGGCTTAACTATCTACTCGGCTTTCCGCCTACCGCTTACTATAAAGGAGTATATACCGCTTAAGGGCAATGCATTATCGACTTTCTAGGCATATATAAGCAATATTCTCTATATTATTATCGATAAGAAGTTAATAATCGACTTAGTCGAGATATATTAGATCGATAAGCGACTACGATAGGTTAGCTAGTAAGATCCTAGCTACCCTTAAGAAGATTAAGACGATCCTAACATTAATACATCGCTCCCCTTCGGAGGTTTTACTATCTGTATCTGTAGTGATTTTAGTTAATTACTTCTAGTCGTAGGTCGGCCTCTCTTTAGTAGAGCAACGCCGAACGACTCCCCTAAGGTCGTCTTAGGTCGGTACGCGTAGCATCTCTTTAATCAAACTATTTAGCTAAATGTTATCTAACGTTAGCAAGGTAGTAATGTAACTGCTTAGGCTTTTAAGGATACACTCGAAGGCTTACGTACCGGACCTAGCAAGCTTACTATCAACTAGTAGTAGACACTTAAGACACGTATTCGAGACCCTTTATATCCCTACCTAGCGGGATTTAAGGACGCTATCCGCCTCTTTAGCTATAAGAAGTAGGTATCCCTCCTTAACTATACCTCGATGCGTAACAATTAGCAGCCTATTAAGCCTATTAAGGCTAAATATACTAGTCGCTACGCCGCTTAAGCTAATTACGAGACTAGCGGAAACCTATATAAAGTCCTTCTAGTCTATCTTAACGCTCGAGTTATAGTAACTAAGAACCTTTAGGTATAGCAGGGTGTTATTAATAGCAGTCTAGGCACTATCCGCGACGTAATTTAGGCAAGTAATCCGCTACGTACGGATTAAGAGGTCGTCGACGAAGATATGCCCGCTATCTTACTAATCGAGCTCGATTAGTATTCGGGGCTAATACTAGGTTAGGAGATCGATAGTATACTATTAAACATTGTTCCTATCGTACCTTCTCGGCGCGAATAGAAGTATAACGATCGCCTCGACGGCTAATACACTCGTACCTAGTTTCTACTTACTATCGCCTACGCTATTACTATATACAAGTCGTAGGGTATAACGTTAGACAAGGGAGTTCTCGATATCTCTAAGAAGGATTTTACGCCTGCTTTAATATATGTCGTATACTCTCGCTTCCGTAATCTTACCGACATCCTCTTCGACGAGCCCTTTAACTTTAACCGCTTTAAAGGCAAGCCTTACAAGTTACATATTAACCGCTATACCGACTATATCCGTCGTAAGAAGCAGCGAGCCCTACTACCTAGAGGAATCCTTTCTTCCGATCCGCTATACCCTAACCTTAAGGCCGTAAAGCGCGATCTACAAACTCTATAGGTATAGCAACAATAACGCCTATAGTAGTAGCTTGTACGAGAATATAGCTAGGAAGAGGCGCTTCGTTAGCGGCAGTAAGAGGAAGAGGCATAACACGAGGCAGACTTACTTAAGATTACTAAAATAGAGTCGCGTTCTTAAGGGTATAGCTAGATCGATATACCTAAAGAAGCGGGTTTTCCGGTAGCTTCTCTTACGTTCCTTAAGCGGACACTTCCGACATTAATAGTGCCTAGATAGTTTATACGCTTTATAGCACTATCTCGCAAATTTATAGATGTCTATAGCCGCCGTATTAAGGGCACTACGTTTACGGATGCCTTCCGTAATATAGAGTCGCGTAATAAACTTATTTACTAATACCTTAGAGTCAAATCTGTACCGCGTATCGATTAAGACCGTCTTAGCTATCGCTAGGTTGCTAGTGAATTCCTTAACGACGAGACCTTCTAGCGGAACGTTAATGCTAACTGCTAAGCCTAGTAATCGTAAGTAACCTACCCGAGCTACCTTCTTCGAGGTAGTAATATTATCGATAGCGATCCGGCGACTTAGTAAGAACAAGCTACTTAGGAAGAGCAAGGTACTTACGAAGAGCAGGGTATTTACTAAGAGTAAGGCATATAGTAGGATATACTAGGCGATAAAGAGATTAATAAAGAGACACGCATTTAGATTGTAATAGCGGAAGAACAAATGCGTTAATAGGCCTTTAATAATAGACTGCGTCGTAATTAGGAGGAAGACTTAGCTATAGCGCAGATATAGGACGACGATAAGACCTTTAAGTAGATAGAATGTAATAATATTAAAGCGTAAGCGCTTTTAACGCTGATCTAATATTGTTCTTAAGCGCTATTCCGTCGCTCCGCTCGATTAGGACAAGCACTGCAGGGCTTGAACGATACTTTATACCTTCAAGTACAGTGTCAAGTTTTGCTGAGGCAAACGTGTTGTCTCTTCCGTATTTGCAGGCCGAGGCGGTTCGCCAGGATAGGAAGGAGTAGCTATCTTCTCTGCGTCCTTCCCACCAATCGGGTGCTCGCCTCTGCATGGCATTTGTGCAGACCATGCTAATTAGCGTGCGTCTCTGGACCAGAAATCGCTGACACCACTACTTCGCAGTTGTCTTTTGACTCCTTATGCCAAGCTCTTTACCACGAAGGGCCACCGTCCCACAGCAATGACATGCTCCTGAGAGCCGAACGCCAAGCACTTCATCGTCTCCTCCAATCAGGCGCGGCCGTATTCTGCTTCCTGGGCTATATACAATACACAGTACTGCAGTCCAGCTAGGAAGGAGATCCGCCCCTAGATGCACCGGCAGCTCGTTAAGGGAGTCGAACCTACTCACGGTCTAGGAGACGTAATAGACCATCGAGAAATCGACATCCCTCTCTGCTCGATGACTCCCGAAATGGAAGCAGAATTCATCAGACCGGCTTTTCATCAAGATGACCGAGATCCGGGGCCAGAAACAGTGTGGAGATGGGCTCATCGAACGGAATCTCCTTCCAACGCTCCAGACAATGGAGGGTGGGTTCTTCCCGATGTTCAGATGAGCTTGCGGGAATTTGGCTATGTCTTCTGGGATCAAGCGAGGATCGATTGCTGGAGACTTCTCGAACGTCCGTGGGAAGGGGAATATGATACTGCTGCTCGACGCTATGACCAAGAACTGAGCTGACCTGCCTTATTACGCAGCTTGGAAGGGAAACGCGGGACATGTGGCATATATAGCTAGATAATCGTTCAAGGAGTGCGCCACTCGCAACACTCGAGACATATCTAAACCAAATTCCTCTCTCCAATCTTCCCCCAAACTCCTCAACAAGAAAAAAGAAATGACATCCCTCACCATCTCAATAATCGGAGCCGGCATATCCGGTCTCGCCACAGCCTTATCAATCTCCAAATCCAAAACCTCCCCTTCTTCTCCCACTCACAAAATCACAATCTACGAATCCCAGCCCCAACTCTCCGAACTCGGCGCCAGAATCCAACTCTCCTCCAACGCAACCCGAGTCCTTCACAATCTCGGCCTAGGCGAAAAAATTCCGAAAAAGTCGCCAGTCAACCCAAAATCATGGCTGTACATCGATACGCAGATGATAGTTTGATTGGAGAAATTGCGCAAAATCCTTTGTCGGAATGGGAGTATGGGTTTCCGGCTTGGACTGTTTTTAGACCTGATTTTCAGAGGTTATTGGCGGGAGCGGTAGGGGAGTAGGAGGGTGTGGAGGTGGTGTTGGGGAGGAGGGTGAAGAGGGTTGAGAGGGCAGGTTAGGGAGTGTATTTCGGAAAATGAGGGGTTCAAGGCGAGGCCGTTTAGTGAGCATTGCTATCGTGCTGTTGTGCCCAAGAGGAGAAGATGGAGATTGATGTGGAGACTAAGGAGTTGATGGAGTTGGATTCGTTGAATATGGTTTGGTGTGGGCCTGGGTTGTGCATGCTTGGATATCCTGTGGCTGCTGGTGAGCTGTACAATATTGTGTTATCAGTTCCGAGACCGCCTGACGAGGATGCGGTTGGGAAGTGAAGTCAGCCTGGAGATGTGAAGGAGGGAGCGAAGTTACTTGAAATCTTCTGTCCACGCGCGAGGAAACTTTGGGATTTGGTGGAAGAGTGCAATAAATGGACGTCGGGCGATCTCCCTGCTTTGCCTACCTTTGTCAGCGCCAGCGGAAAACTGGTGCTGGTTAGTGACTGCGCACATGCTATTCTGCCTCATTCAGGACAGGGCGGTGCGCAGGCTCTGGAGGACGCCGCAGCACTTGCAGTCTTTGTGGGATCGGTGAAGGATAAGTCGGAGCTTCAACCAAAGATGAGACAGTGGAGTGACCTGAGACAGGCTAGAATCAACGGTGTGAGGAGATTCGCGATGGGCAACCAGAAGTTCTTGACGATGGCAGATGGACCAGACCAGCAGAAACGGGATCAGATGTGGGCTGCCATGACTGCCGGCTGGAAAAAGGAGCTGGAGCGGAATGGCGAAGAAGGCATTCGAGCAAAGGCAAAAGCGACCAAGCCTGACCCGCAGTCGGAGGACATGCGATCGCCTGAGACTCGAATGTATCTGTACGGATACGATGCGGCGGAAGAGGCGAGGAAGATTATAGCAGCGGCGGCGTGAAGGGTATTCTTACTGATTGTCGCAGCGGAGCAGCCAAGGTATGGATGAAGTCGTGGCATACAAGATCCTTTAAAGCGTGCAGCATAAATAGATCCATCGCAGTTTGTTGGCATGTACCCATCCAAACAAGCCACTGCCCTTGCACAATGCAGTCCAGGACAGCCGAGTCATTTGGTCAAAAATAAGTCGAAAGGTGTGGATGGACATTGAATCTACCTCCATTGACAAACGAGTCTCCCACTGGGACTGGCAAGAACCGCAATGGGTTGCATGCCGGAAGACGACGTATACTGAGGAGGGGCTTAACTTGCCTTGATGGGAGCTAGTGAGGTAGACGTTGGAAGGAGGAAATGTGGAAAGTTTGGAGCGTCGTGAGATTTGATTTGCTGTACGGCGATACACCACCAGCTGGCTGGAACTCATCAGTCAGTGACTTTTCATGAAGTGAGTCTTGAGCGCATACGCATACCTGTTGCTCTGACTCTTTCGAAACGCGTCTCGGCGTGCTCTGGTCATTGGAGCATCACAGGAGTCTTTCTGCCACGGCTGGCAGACACTTCTCCCTTGCGCGTTAGTACTCCGCGATGCCATCCTTGGTATGTCCTTTCCAATTCTCATATCATCACCATCCTCTCATCTCTTATACCGCTCGTGCAGCTGTCGGATCTGCTCTTGCACGTCCGGCCGATCTGTGCCTGGCGGGAAGGTTCCTGGCGCAGCGGTCTGTGGCATCTGGCCATTATATGCCTGAAGCTCCGCTCTCTTTCTCCGCTCCTGCTCTTCTGGTGTGACTGCTTGACCTGTGATGGGGTCGAACACATCAGTTCGCTGCGATGCCAGCCGCTTCAGGTTGTTGGCCACATCAGCGGTCGACAGGTTGGTGGTCGAGCTTCGCATCTGAGCCTTACGTGACTCGTCGCGCCAACGAGGATCTAGAAGCTCAATGCGCATGTGTTCCTCAAGCTCATCGTTCGGTATCGGCTGCTTGCAGTTTGGACAGATGGATGTGTTTTGTACACGATTTCGAAGTTGTGCTTGTGGGACGTAGTCGTTGCGTATGCGAGCAGGCTGGTTGTGCGCGGCTCTGGTAGCATTTCGTGCCGCATCGCGCTCTTCGGCAAGCGATGGAGCCTCTGGTGGCGCGTATGGAGACTGTTGTGGAGGCGTTGGTTGGTACGGTGGTTGCGGAGTGTAAAATTGCTGTTGCGGCATGACTTGTGCTGCTGGATACTGTGCCTGCTGGCCGTAAATGTCTTGGTAATCGTTGAGATCTGGCACAGCTTCCTCTAGTCTCCTGTTCGGATCGATGCGCATGTTTGCCTTCTCTTCCAAGCTCAGCGACAGCATATCGTTCAGGGTTCGTGGCGGCGGCATATCTGCTTGTTCGTCGCGCTCATCAAAGGTGATGGTGGCGATGACACTGAAGTCGTGCCAGTCGATTTGTGCGAAAGCCACACGGTCTGCCTCAGCCTTCTCTTCCTTCTCGACCTTCTGCTTCTCTTGATACTTGACGTACTCGGCCCTCTTCTTCGCGCGCTCCAGCACATTGAAGCGGTTGTTGACATTCTTCTGCAGCTCTTCGATGCGCTTCCTCTGGGGCGCACCGTTCTCGGCCGTCTCACCCTCGATGAGATCCTTGTACTGCTCCACCAAGCGGTTGAAGAACATGTTCAGCGAGTGCTGGGGCCGCAAGAAGTCGAATTGGTAGTTGCCACCTTCTCTCTGACTGAGATGCGTGACCCAGCTTCTGCCATTCTTGGCGGCGTATAGAGCTGTCAACTTGACAATTTCGAGATCCTGGGCGCTGATGTTGGGCATGCGAGCGCTGAATTTGAACTCCTCCGGCGGCTTCGGCGCTCTCGATTCGCGACCTTGGAAAGAGACATCTGTCCTGGCGGTAGGTGCATTCTGCTCAGTGCTGCGACCAGCTTTGCACTCTTCCACGCGCCATTTGTAGTAGTCGTTGTACTCGTCTTCCGGCTCCAGGAAAGATGTGACATTGGTGCCGGCGTTTTTGTTGCGAACCGAGTCTTCAAAGGCTTTACCTGATCGCGCAACGTACGCAGCTACCTTCTCAATCTTGTATCGAATGTGACGCGGTGGAAGGACGACGCCCTCGGGCACACGCTTTGCGATATCGTCGGCCTGGCCATCTGCTGCAGGCTCGCCGTTAGTAGCGGCCATGCTGGAGGACGCAAATTCTGTCTCGCCTTCGCAATATCTCTTCTCAATGTGTCGGTCTGTGTGGGTGGAGTGGAGAATCACATGCAAAGGAGTGGCATGTGAAGGGTGTGCGTGTGCGTGTGCGTGTGCGTGTGCATGCTGGAGTTGGCGTCTGTCAGTGAAGCTTTGATGCGCCAAAGTCAAAGTTCCGAGGCGGGCGCTATCCGAGGCTCTGTTACACACTCCGCCCCTCGCCTAGCTCGGGGATTTAAGCCAAACGTAAAATCGCGCTTTCTATAGTAATCCATACGTAAATCTCGATGGAAACGTTCGATAGGGGTACTATTGTCGGGATATAGACTAATAAGTAGCTTATAAATAGATAGGTAAATATATAGAGGTAGAATTGTCGACTAAATAACGTAAATATTAGGTAGTAGCCGTCTTAGCGTATACTTAGCGTTAATTATGTGATCTACGACTTTATAAGTAGGCCTATATCTCGAGTATATAAAGACTACTTCCTACGCTAGAGTAAATAGCTAGCTATAATAGCTATAGCCTACTATCCTATATATCTTTAATCTTTACTAGATAGGCCGTACTGCTAGTCGCTATTACCTTACCTTTGTATCTAGCCGACTTCTTTAGTGCTTTATAGAAATATCTCTTCTTCTAAGTAGCCTCTAGTTAGTAGCGAGGATATAGTAGATAAGGCTAGAGTTATAGAAATAGGTTCTTAGCTAGCACCGCTTCTATCTGTTTAAGCTAATTTAATCGTATATCCGGCTCTTAAGAGATTAAGCCGTTTAATCGTTACTTCGAAGCGAGGTCGCGCTATATTAGAAAGTCGCTTTCTTCGTCCGAGTCGTACGTATATAAAGGAAGCGATATTAGCTATATAGGTATCTACGTCGCGGTAACGGTGCCGTCGTCGCTAACCTCGTTATATCGCCTATATCTCTTAATAATATCTACGTACGGATCGCCGATTTTGCGGATACTATCTTTATAGGTAATAGTATTATCGCAATTAAGAAGTTAAAGGTTAAAGACGCGCAACAGCGGCGGCTTATCGATAGCGACTAACTATAATACTACCTCTATAAACTTAACTTTGCTATTATTATTAAAGACAATATAGAAGGCCTTACTATACTTTAACCGATAGGTACGTGCCTTAGCGATAGTAGTCTCGGCGTCTCGTAGTCCCCTCTACTAAGTATCGAGTACTATTTCCTTGTCCTATTATATAAGCTAAGAGCGGAGTTTATTAGCCTTAATAGTACCTGCTCGAACAAGGCGATTAGGCTGTTCCTTTTGCCTCTTCCGTACCTTCTCGATAGTGTCTATAGTATTAAACTTACGCTTGTATTCTTTACTTTTATAAAGAGCGGCTTTAATAGATAGGTCGTAGATAGCCTAAGCCTCCTTTATAGGGGATAACGAGAATAGGTTAAATAAGGGCGATAGTAAAGCGAGGTCCGTTAGAGCCGGCTTTAGATAAGAACGTCGGAAGTTACGGCGAGATTATATAGCCTTACGCGATGCCTTAATTATACGAGGGCTTATCGAAGTAACGAGTAGCTATTACGGCAATTCGGGGGTCGGTATACGACTATATTAGTTTAGTAGAGGCGACGATAATATACTCTAAGCAATTAAGTTTCCGAGGTCCTCTTTAACGTAGCGATTATTAGCGTAAGACTAGCTATTTAGGTCGATAATAGCGGGATTAGTAGAACGGCCTTACTTAATAGCAATAAGGTGTTCCTCTATCGCCTTCTCTACTATCGCTAAGGCTTCTATTTGCTAGGCTTCTTCCTATTCTAGCGACTCCTAAATTAATTCCTAGTTCTAATCTCTAGTAGTAGTACTATACTGTTCTCGAATATATCGATAAGGGACCTCCCTATCTACCGGGAATATGCCTATCTTACGGAATACTGACCTTATATTATAGAAAGTAAATGTCCTCGCCCGAATAGTAGAAAGAGCCTCTATAAACTTAGGTATTCTAAAGTTACTAATACTGTAGTATATAGCCTCGAGCACTACTTGTCTATACCTCGTCTTATATACTTAGAATAGTATAACGTCTAATAGCTATATAAAGTATAAAGTGTATAGTTATAGGCCCTATAATTAAATCCTATGTCTCTTCGCGAAGGCAGCGAATTCCTTAAAGTAGTAAGAGCTATAATTGTTATATAATAATAGCCTCTATTCGCTTAGATCGTTAGGCCTCGTCTTGCGCTTAAACTAGCGGATATAGTGCATTACAGTATCGTCGGTTATATATCTAGACTCGTTAATAGTAATTAAGAAGTTGTCCTTGCCTAACAACGAGGATATAGTTAGTAAGTAACGTTATTATTGCCTTAGGTAGTAGACTCGGACTCGGAAGTAGTAATAGTAGTAGTAGTAGACTTACCTTCCTTCGGTACCTATCGTTCTTATACTATTATACCTTTAACAATTAACTAATAATCTATTATATTGCTATACGCGTTAGCTATCTCGACGATAGTAACGTAAGTACGATTAGTATCGTATTTAGTCTATATACGGCGCTTCGTATCCTACGTTACTACGTATTCGCAGCCTCTAATTCTAATCCGAAAACTAGTTTCGTCGAAATTCTATATATTCTAAGGCTTTACCTTTAACCGCCGTAATATAGCTTTAAATCGATCAAACTACGACCTTATAACGGCTAGATCGTAGGCCTCTTTACGCTGTTTCTCGATCGGTTTAGATTTAACCTTACTAAGGCTATATCGAGCTAGGAAGCGGTCCGCCTAGTCTATACCGAATAGTGCTATTACGAGGGCACTGTTACTAGCCGCTAGCGAGTTAGCCGCTAGCGAGTCCTTTAGTATATCTATAGCAACTACTATAATAAGCGATACTAGAAGAAATATATCTATAGCGTCTCTTTCTCGACAATAGTCCGCTAGCGCTAATTCCTAGCTTTTACTAAGTTTAGTATTAGTTAGCTCGCGACCTAGGTATAAACTACGATCTCGTAATCGCTAGTAAATACGCGAATATAGGCCTTCGGCGCTCTCGCTCTTATATAGTTCTTTTAGACTAAAGCGCCTATCTTGTAACCTCTATTCTTAAGCCTTCGATATAACCCTTTCTACTACCTTCTCGAGCCTCTTAGTCTCGGTAAGCCGTTTAGTACGTACGCGCTTCTTCCTTCTACCTTTCCGAGCTACTATATCGACGGTAATAGTAATAGTAGCGAATACTATATTATAAAGAGATAGAATACGCGCTAGAATAGAGGTAGACGCGCCTATTAAGGGATTATATAATAATCGGCGGCAGTAAGGTCTATAGCTACTATATACTCGGATAACCTCGCTAATATAATATTTAGACTCGCGGTTTAATACTATATACACCTAGATATCTATATAGGACTAGAACCTACTACTATATCGATATTTACGTATAGCCTACTAAGAAAAGCCGATTTTACGTATGGACCAAATCCCCGCGATCAGCGGGGTAAAGTGACTGAAGAAACCCCGGATAGTGGAATACCCGTGGGCCTCCTTGCATTCGCGTTCCACTCACTACTGTAACGAACGGCGCTAAGGAGTACGTGTCTCTAAATTCAGCTCCTACAAGCACAACCTGGCCAGCTTGCACATTTCCTCCCATCGCTCCTTCGACACACCGACACCCTCTTTCCTCCTCGCGACTCGGCCCGTGACAGGCATTGCGAATACACTTTCCAGGGATCGACGTCGCGCATTCACGTCAGCTCGTCAACCTGAGACCCTGGCCCGGTTGTAGCGCATTCAGAAATTCAGATTCGATGCGCCGCGCGCCCAAACTCAGCCTGATCTGATCGAGCACTTACACATTGACCACCGCCGCCATGGCGACCAAGCCAGGCCAGACCAAGCTGCAGCAACAGCAACAGCAACAGCAAAAGAATGCCTCGATACCCAATGGCAATGGCAAGATCACCGCCTCAGCCATGGTCCAGACGTCGCCCGACAAGCCACCCTACCCTCGATACGACTACACTTCGCCCGGCGTCAAGGACAACAACATCCTCAATCTTAAGAGCAGCGACTGGGAGGCATTGGGAGTAGTCACGCTGGTCGCGCTGTTTGTGCGCTTGTTCCGCATCTATCAGCCTTCCAGCGTGGTCTTCGATGAGGTGCACTTTGGAGGCTTCGCGAGCAAGTACATCAAGGGCAAGTTCTTCATGGACGTCCACCCACCGCTCGCCAAGCTGTTGATCACGTTCGCCGGCTGGCTGGCGGGCTTCGATGGCAACTTCGATTTCAAGGACATTGGCAAGGACTACCTCGAACCAAACGTGCCTTATGTCGCTATGAGGCTGCTCCCAGCCCTCTGCGGTGTCCTCGCTGTCTCAACCATGTTCTTGACCCTCAAGGCTATTGGGTGTAGGACTGTGACTGCTGCGCTGGGCGCCGGTCTGCTTACCTTTGAGAACGGCTTCGTCACTCAGTCCAGACTGATCTTGCTCGACTCTCCCCTGGTCATCTTCACTGCGCTCACAGGACTGTCCTGGATCTCTTTCATCAACCAGCATGAGCAGGGACCAAAGAAGGCGTTCACTCCCAGCTGGTGGTTTTGGCTGGCGGCAACTGGAGTGACACTTGGCGCGACCGTCAGCGTCAAGTGGGTTGGTCTCTTCACCATCGCATGGGTCGGCTCTCTTACAGCCCTTCAACTCTGGGTTCTGCTTGGTGACACCAAGAATGTCACCACTCGCATCTGGTTCAAGCACTTGTTCGCGCGTATTTTCTGCTTGATCATCATCCCCATCACCTTCTACATGGCTATGTTTGCAATCCACTTTGTCTGTCTCGTCAATCCTGGCGATGGCGACGGCTTCATGAGCAGCGAGTTCCAGTCCACGCTCAACTCCAAGGGAATGGCAGATGTGCCCGCGGATGTGGTTTTTGGCTCTCGCGTCAGCATCAGACACCACAACACTCAAGGCGGCTACCTGCATTCGCATTCTCACATGTACCCAACCGGCAGCAAGCAACAACAGATCACTCTTTACCCGCACAAGGATGAGAACAACGTCTTTCTGGTTGAGAACCAGACTCAACCCATCGACTGGGCGAAAGATCCAACAGGGAACACCAGCGTGATTGGCCCACTCGCATGGGACAGCCTTGACCCAGAAAATGTCAAGGACGGCAGCATCATCAAGCTCTACCATGTTACTACTGATCGTCGCCTGCACTCACACGATGTTCGCGCACCAATCACCGAGGCCGATTGGCAGAATGAAGTGTCCGCATATGGCTACGAAGGATTTGAGGGTGATGCCAACGATCTTTTCCGTGTCGAGATCGTGAAGTCCATGTCAGACGGCAAGGCTGCCAAGGAACGCCTCCGAACGATTCAGACCAAATTCAAGCTCGTCCACATCATGACAGGCTGCGTGCTCTTCTCACACAAGGTTAAGCTTCCGGAATGGGGCTTCGAACAGCAGGAAGTGACCTGTGCTCGTCAAGGAACCCTGCCAAACTCAATCTGGTACATCGAAGGTAACGCCCATCCCAAGCTCAATCAGACTGCAGAGAAGGTCAACTACCGCAACCCAGGCTTCTTTGGTAAGTTCTGGGAACTGCAGAAAGTCATGTGGACCACCAATGCTGGCCTTGTCGAGTCGCACGCTTGGGACTCTCGCCCCTCATCATGGCCCATGCTCAAGCGTGGCATCAACTTCTGGGGCAAGGACCATCGCCAGATCTACTTGATTGGCAACCCATTGATCTGGTATTCCAGCACTGCTGCTATTGGCATCTACTTTCTTTTCAAGGCTTTCGCACTGCTGAGATGGCAGCGCAGCTTCAAGGACTACCAGAACATCACTTTCCGCCGCTTCGATTATGAGATTGGCACCACTGTTCTAGCATGGGCATTCCACTACTTCCCATTCTTCCTCATGGCTCGACAGCTCTTCCTGCATCACTACTTTCCGGCGCTCTACTTTGCCATCATGTCGCTCTGTCAGGTCTTTGACTATGCAGTTGGCCGCGTCCAGCTCGGCTCCTTCACCCTGAAGAATAAGCCTTCCATCGGTCTTGGTGCAGCTGCGATTTACCTGGCCATGTCTATCGTTGTTTTCTCGCTTTACGCTCCACTTAGCTACGGCAACGTGTGGACTAAAAAGGACTGCCAGAAAGTCAAGCTCATGAATACATGGGACTGGGACTGCAACACCTTCTATGACTCCGTCAGTGAAGCTTGATTCTCTGAATATGCACTTGAACTGACATCATACAGTACGCCGATTACACGCTATCCGTCTCAGCACCAGGATCTGCGGCGACGGCCACTGGCCAGGCAGCGCATGGACCTGCTCCACCCAAAGCCGAGGATCCAAAAGAAGAAGTCTTGTTCACGCCTAGAGGTAATGCTCCGGTAGGTGAGCCACAATACGTCGAGGAGAAGATCGAGTATCGAGACGAAGAGGGCAATTTGCTCAACGAAGAACAAGTCGCGGCGCTCGATGGCAAAGTTTCATTCTCTACACGCTACGAAACACGGACACGACTGATCGACGAAGCCGGCAACGAGATCTACGATGGCCTTGTCGATTCACGCGATGGCCCAGCACCTCCTAAAGCAGAAGGCGTCGACCCAAAGACTCAGGGCCGCGATGCAGGCTCAGCAGAGTCAAGCACCGACATCGAGGAGGATCTGCGTAAGGAGCAGAGTATTCAGGATACTGCTGCCACGGCTGAACCAGGGAGTGAGCCGGAGATTAAGACGAAGGATGAGCTTTGATGTGGCGTGTAGCAATTAAGCAAGCAATACATTTGGGCGGTGTTTTTGGGGGTGAATGCATGAATGAGGCAGGCAGGCAGCATAAAGTCCCTGTATGATCTTGATATCCTCGAAAAGAACTTGTTATGTACCAGCAACAACATCTTTTCGAAATTTTGTATTGGTAAAGTATGACGAAATGGCAAGTCCGAGCCTCGTCTGCAGTCATCAAAAGACCGAACTGATTGACAAAATGGTCCTACTTTCCATCCTCAAAATACCCCGAATAAGCATTCAAAGCCGGCTGACCCCCAAGATGTACATAAAGCACATTACTCCCCTTCTCGATAGTCCCCTCCTTAACAAGCTGAATCAACCCAGCCATACTCTTCCCCTCGTAAACCGGATCCGTAATGAGCGCATCAGTCCTCGCAGCAATTTTCATCGCCTCAATCGTCCCCGGTCCAGGAATTCCATAAATCCCTTCATGAAACCTTTCATCTAACACGATCGCTTCATCTGGAATTTCGAGTTTCGGGTCGAGCAGTTTCGCCGTGTTTCGTGCTATACGTGCGACTTGTTCTTTTGTAGCTTCGGGTTTTCCTGAGGCGTCGATGCCGATTACTTTGCGACTGCGTCCTTCGGCTACGGAGCCGACTATGAGTCCTGCGTGCGATGAGCCGGTTACGCTGCAGACTATTAGGGTGTCGAAGAAGATTCCCAGGCTTTTTTCTTGTTGGGCGAGTTCGACGATGAAGTTTGTGAAGCCTAGACCTCCAAGTTCGTGGTCGGAGGCTCCGGCTGGGACGTAGTAGGGTTTTCCTCCTGACTTTTCTATCTCGGTGACTGCATCTTTTGTCGCGGTTTTGTGGCCGATGTGGAAACCTTCTTGGTTTAGACGCACGTCGCCGCCCATTAGTCTGCTTAAGAGGATGTTGCCGACTTTGTCGTACAGCGGTGGGTCGATGGGGACCCATTTTTCTTGGATCTGAGGGAGAGGTTAGTCGACCAGATGCAGAATTGATGGGAATAATGCAGGGAGAAGGCACAGTTCCATTGTGTGCCCTTGCAACCACATCTTCTATGGATGTAACTCACAGTAACAGCTTTCAGTCCACTTGCTGTAGCGACGGCAGTTACAGCTCGTGTGTGATTGCTTTGAACTCCACCAACGGATACAAGATGAGTGCACCCCTTTGCTTTGGCATCTGCTACCAAATATTCCAACTTTCGAACTTTGTTGCCACCATAGGCCAAACCAGAATTGCAGTCATCTCTTTTGGCCCAAATCTTCACATCTCCATTGGGTGATACGTATTCTGTAAGGCGTGGAAGAAATTGTACTGGAGATGGTCCAAAAAGGAATGCTTCCTTGGGTATGCTCTTTAGCTTTTGAAGGTATGCTGGTGTGTCTGCCATTTTCGCTAGATCTCTGCAAGTCCGGAGTGAGTCTTGAAGGTAATGATTTATTTCACAAGTCTGAATATGTACTCATTCTTCGCCGTCGGCTTACTGTACCGATGACCGGAGCACCACTTGGCAGGTAAAACGTCGGGAGCCAAAGTAGGGCCGCCGCCCTATCGATGACAAGCGGCGCGCGATACGTAACTAATTCGCGCCGATTGCTGCAGCCAGGCATAAGACGCAAAGACGAGAACACCCCAATAATGACTGCTTGGGCGATTGGGGTAGAACTAGTTAGCGGATTTGGGAAATGCCGATTGTGTTCCTGCATTACCGATCGCTGAAACCGCATACGGTCCAGACTTTCAATGGCAGATTGCCTCATGAACTTGGCGACATTTTACATGTGATTATGATGAGCGTGAGTTTGCTCAGCCTTCAAATGTCCATACGCCAGTCTCCTCAGCCGAGTCTCCATGCTCAATCGCCGACTCTTTCAACGCATCTGCCAGCGCGTCGGATTCTGCTGCATTTGGTTCACACTGCCAGAAGAGACTCTTCGCGACGCTGACTTGCCTTAAACTTGGAAGCGTGCCGTCCTGCACAGCAATCAATACATCGATGGGCGTGATTTTGTCCTCAACTCCAGGATTTCCGCTATTGGTCAACTCTAGCTTTCGCAGCTGGCAAGGTCTGCCTGTGATCCATTCATGTCTGGTAACCACTGGTTTCGAAGAAGGTGGTGGTTCTGGGTCGTTGAACACCCTTTCTGGGTTCTCCAGGTCAAACAGAGCTCCAGTGATGTAGTCAACGCTGATGCTCAACTTCGTAAGTCCAGGTAGAATTGCCAGCACATTGTCCAGCGAACAGAATGACATTCTCGGCAAGTTGGCGAGCCTCAGATGTTCGAGGTTGGGGAGTGTTCGTACAGATGTTCGTAAAAGATGGTTGATTGCCGACGCCCTTGCTGCAGGACAATGTTCGATGACCAGGCTGCGAAGCGTAATCGGAAAAGTGACAACGCCTTGCAGGAAATGGACATCGATGGCTCCACTAAGGCTCAAGCTTTCGAGGTTCGGAGGCCATTGCATAGCGGAAGGGTCGAAAGGCGTGTTGCTGAAACCTGAACTCCTTGGTAATCGTAGCGTGGTCAGACGTTCCAGATGTGACACAGTCCTGAACAGGTCTGTTAATGGCGGGCTCTCCGAAACAAGACTGAGGTCTAGTAGATGTAGCTGCTTGCATTTCGATAGCGCTGGAAAGGAATACATCGAGAATGTTGCTTGCGGCGCGACAAACTGCTCCAAGTTCTCCTTCGTCCGACTGAGTATTCGTCCTGTCACCGATTTACTCCCAGAGTGGACAAGCTTTGACATGTCCAATATCTTGACCATGCCTTCGAAGGGACTCTTTTGAATATGCTTGTTCTTCGTCGGACACATCGCTCGGTAGAATGCATCAAAGTTCTTTCCGGTCAGCCAAGGTCTGGCATATAGGAACGGTACCGCAGCTTGGTGCCATTGTCTCGAAAGTAGACAGCAAGATGCCAAGGTTTCCTGCGACTCCTGGAAGCGTGCTACAAACTCGAGTATTTGTATGATTACCTCATCTGGTAGATACACTGGCGGTGTAGTCCATACTCGTGGTGGCTCTGCATTCTTCCCGACTTTCTGTTGTGATGCATCCTTCTGTATTTGCTGTTTCCTCATGAGAGGTTGAATGCCGCGCCTCTTCACCTGCTCCAGGTTCTCGGCCATGGAGATAGTCCAATTCCGCTGCTGGTCCAGCGCCATGATGATGTTGTGAGTTGTTCTTCTTTTCGAGTGGCGGCTCAAGTAACAATCTCAAACGAGTCGAGAACGTTCCTGCCAATGAAGATGACATGACGAAGCCAAGCCTTTCGGGACGGAGCTCTATACACACCAGATTGTCAATGAAGAATTCACAACGCAATCTTTGCCCCTACAAGTTCTTTTTAATATATCTTTTTATCTAGAGGAGTTATAGCTTAATAATATAGGACAAAGATACTCTAATTTATGTATATTTTTAGAAAATATTAAAATTTCTAGTCGTTGCCTCCTAAATTAATAAGCTATATAGCTTAAAACTCTAAGTTAGAGATTTTAGAATTTTAGCGTTTTCTTAAGTCTTAATATACTATTTTTAGTAATCTAAAAACTAGGCCTTATAGTTTTACTTAATAAAAATCTATTTTGAGATTTTTCTCGTAATATAGCTACTATTAGTTCTATAATCTAGAATTTAAAACTTAAATTCTTCTTAGGTTCCCTTTCGTATATCTTTTTCTTTAGACGAGTTATAGCTTAGTAATATAAGACAAAAATAATCTGTTTTTCATCTAGTATTAGAAAATTACTAAAATTGTTATAGCTATCTACTAGGATTAGCCTAAAATTCTAGAATAAAGATTTTAAGACTTTTGCTTTTTTTAAGCCTTAGTATACTATTTTTAGTAATCTAAAACCTAAACCTAATAGTTTTACCTAGTAGGAATCTATATTAAAGCTTTTACTTTAAATAAGCTATAAATAGTCTTATAACTTAGAAAAGAATATTCTTAAGAATTGTAAACTTTAAATTGCTAAGCCTACAATTGTTAAGAATATTCGCTTTAGGATTTTAAGACTAATAGTAAGCGTATTAAAATAAGAATCTCAAAATATATTTATACTAGGTAAAACTTTTAGGTCTAGGTTTTAGATTGCTAAAAATAGTGTGCTAAGGCTTAACAAATACCAAAATCTCAAAATCTTTACCTAAGAGTTTTAGGCTAATCTTAGTATATAGCTATAATAGTTTTAGTTATTTTCTAAAAATATATAAAAGTTAAAGTATATTTGTCTTATATTACTAAGCTATAGCTCTTCTAAATAAAAAGATAAACTAACGAGAATATAGTAAGAAAATAATATTCCTTTCTAGATTATATTACTAATAGTTTATATAATAATATATAAATTTAGATTTAGATTTTTATAAGATGAAACTATAAGATCTGGATTTTAGATTACTAAAAATAGTATGCTAAGGCCTAAAAAATGCTAAAATTGTTAAACTTCTAAATTAGACTTTTAGGCTATATAGCCTATAAATTCAATAGGTAACGACTAGAAATTTTATTATTTTCTAAAAATAGATACAAATTAGAGTATTTTTGTTCTACATTGTTAAGCTATAACTCCTCTATATAAAAAGATATATTAAAAAGAACTTGAAGGAGCAAAGATTGCGTTGTTGTCGCTGCGGTCAGAAGTGCTGTATTGACAATCTGGTACGTATGGGCCTCCCTATTTCGGCAGGTCCCGCCCCGACAGCAACTTCGTGACCAGCTTCGCATTGAACGCCGACGCCGACGACCTCAAATCACCACTCGAACTCCACTCGCAATGCTCGGTCTACGCGCAGCACGCACATTCACACCAGCGGTCCGCCGCGTCACTCAAAAGCGACTGGAAAGCTCCCTCTCCGGACCAGCCGACAATGCCTTCAATCGCGAGCGACAGGCAGTCAAGGAGCACGCTGCTGCCACTTCCGGTACGTTTATCCTTCGCTAGCCGGTGGAGAAAGAAGCGGTAGGAGGAGGAGTAGGAGGTGTGACGCGCGGGACTCCAGTCGCGAGAAACATGGAAGAGGCAGAGACAGAGAACTCGAATTTGCGGAGAACTAAGATGGATAGAATGGAGCTTGGGGCATTGGGATAAAGACATCTGCTGACATCTGATACCGCAGACCTCTGGCGCAAGCTCTCTATTTAGTATGTCTACCATGAAATTCCATACTGGTTTGGAATATGCCAGAATGGCTGTCGAAGCACCAGACTGGAAAGGAGAATGCGTATACTAACACGCTTGCGCAGCGTTGTGATCCCATCCCTCTGCATTGCGGCTGTCAACGCTTGGCGTCTTTGGGACGAGCACTGGGAGCACAAGTCACACGAGCCTCCGGTTGAGGAGCGCACAGAATACCCATATATGAACATTAGAACGAAGAACTTCTTCTGGGGAGATGGCGACAAGGTGCGTACTCACATCAGCTCGTAAACTATGTTCGTTGTTGACATTTCACAATAGACTCTTTTCTGGAACCCAAAGGTCAACCACCACAAGGCCCCAGACGCGGAGTAAGGGGGGATGATTCTCACAGCTGCGGATTGAGTACTGGGTTAAGTCGACCGGTGGATTAGATCTCTTTGCGTTGAAAGGTGGTGCCATTACACGACTCGCGATGTACATATGAGCAGGAGCATCCGAATTGACTATTCGTGTACAACACGGAACGATGCGTCTATTTTGAATGCCGCTGCGAAGAGCACTATCCCGCAGCGGTGTTATTTCTTCGCTGACTATAACGTCCATTCTGAAGTCCTTGATGACCTGAAGCTTTGAGCAGCTCTTCTCTAACTCAGTACGATGTCTATACTCGAGGTGGCTTTTGATCACAACCTTTAGCCCAGCTACTCTCACCATGGCCATCCATTCCATCATCTGTGCTTCTTTTGTGATTCTCCCGTGTTTGGCCGTGCCCAAGAAATGTAGGCTGACATATCTCGCGACTATGGATTGACATGGCCGGGATAATTCGTAATGAGCGTGGCACATGCGAGATCGGCCACCCCACGTCGATACTTTGACACCAGCATCTGGCAATCCATCTTATGAACAGCTCAAGCTTGAATGGCTACAAAATTGCCAAAATTCATTCATGCGCGGACTCCCATAGCATCGCAACTCAGACAGCATTCCCGTGCCGTCTGTCAATCTTCTTTGCAATGGCGAAGACATTACCAAGCGCCTGCTACTACAGGTAGCATTGGCGTGCCAGACTTCGCCTTCGCATTTGAGTGAGCAGGAAGCATCAACGTTGTCATTTGGAAGCATGGCTGACGAGTATCCTTCAGCATCGATGGCGTCCTCGTCCGTTCCTCTGCACCTCTTCCAGGGGCGTCGAAAGCTCTTCAATACCTCCAGAAAGAGCGAATACCATTCATCCTACTCACCAATGGCGGCGGCAAGAGCGAGGAAGAACGAGCGGCAGATCTATCAGCAAAATTAGACGTGGAGCTGGATACAAGCTTGATCGTGCAGTCTCACACGCCATTCGCAGAAATGAAGCATCTGCACGACAAGACTGTGCTTGTGGTTGGAGGCGACTATGACAAGTGCCAGCTTGTAGCGCAGAAATATGGCTTCAAGAATGTGCTCACGCCAGGCGATCTCGTCGTAGCATATCCTGATATCTGGCCGTTCAGTAAAGTCTTCCTGGACTACTATAAGACTTTCGCGAAGGCATTACCCAAGCCGATCACATCGCCGTCGAATCCTGAGAGTGCTGGCGATAAGAACAGACTGAAGATTGATGCGGTGTTCGTCTACAATGATCCGAGAGATTGGGGTCTTGACGCTGCGGTGATATTGGACACGATGCTCTCCAAGCAAGGATATCTGGGAACACTGTCCAGCAGGAATGGAGACGTAAGCTTGCCGAACAATGGATATCAGCAGGATGGACAACCACCTCTATACTACAGCAATCCAGATCTGTGGTGGGCAACATCTTACCATATTTCTCGTTTGGGTCAAGGAGGCTTCAAGGGAGCCTTCGATGGACTTTGGTCAGCAGTCACAGGAGGTGCAAGGCTCGAGCAGACTGTCATTGGGAAGCCATCACAAGAGACGTATGAGTTTGCTGAGACGCGACTACGGAAGCATCGCAAGGCGCTTTTCCGTCACATTGGCCTGAATGATCCTCTACGGCAAGTATACATGATCGGAGATAACCCTGAGAGCGACATTCGAGGTGCCAAAAATTACCAGAGTCCGCATGGCAGCAAGTGGACGAGCATCTTGCTCAAGACTGGAGTGTACCAGGACGGCACAGAACCGTCATGCAAGCCGGACGTGATCAAAGACAACGTTTTGCAAGCCGTGGAGTGGGCATTGAAGGATGCGAAGAAGAGATGACACCATTAGAATGACATTGACATAGACACGATAGACGACTTCTAGAAGCATCAATTGACCAGACCTCGCCGGCCCTTCCTACGACCACTTGATAACCGGCTTCGTAACCTTCCCATCATGTAAATCATGCAACGCCTTCTCAAAGTCCTTGTAATCATAAACCTTGCACAACTTCTCCACAGGGAAATGTCCATCAGCCTGCATCTTACACAGCTGCGGAATGAAAACGGGAGGATTACTATCTCCCTCCCTACATCCCCTATACCCTCGACTCCCAAGTAAATACTGTAGGGGATCAATCTCAATCTTCGCCCCAGAAGGCGGCACCCCCACCGTCGCAGCCGTGCCCCTCATCGACAACACATTCAACATGGCCTCAATGACCTTCGGAACACCAGTACAATCGATAGCGAAATCCGCACCATTATTCTTTCCCGTCAATTCCTTGATCTTCTTCACGAGCTCTTCGCCGGACAAAGATTTCGAGTTCAAAACATCAGTACAACCCAACTCTGTCGCGAGAGGGAGTTTATGATCGAAGATATCCACACCGATAATTTGTCTGACCTTGAGGTAGGGATCGACATGCGAAACCTTACATACAATGTAAGGTAGGGTTATGCCATGTAAGCTTACAAAACCATGTAAAATGGCATGTAAGGTTGTAAGACCAGTGATTCTGGCCATTCTGCCTATGTCGAAGTTATAGGCCTTGCTGACTGTCTTGAATAGCTTAACAACCTTCCTAGAGCAATCTTAGATCTCGAAAGTCCTTCCAAGACTATAAAAGACTGGTTACTGTTGGTTTCTAGACCTAGACAGTCCCCTGCTGAGAATTCCTTCTAGAAGCCTTAGCAGTCAACATGGTCTGAATGGGCTCCTACAGCCACAAACCTGTCAAGATAGCAGGTAAGAGCCTCCAAATTGCCTATACCTCCTTAGCAAGACCTACAGAAGCCATTCCGTAAGGCAGAGATACAGACAAGCCGTGTGGGTCTAGATAATGGTCCAACATACAAATTGTAAGGCCATACAAAGCTCAGATCCCTGCCTTACATTAGGTTTTGTAAGACTTACATGTAAATGTAGAACCCTACCTTGAGGTATTTCGCAGCCATGATGGCCGTGAGCCCTACGGTTCCGAGACCGAAGACGACAAGACAAGAGTCTGGTTCGGGTTTAAGGATATTGAGAACCGTCCCGGCTCCTGCGAAATCATCAGCCATCTCGACAAAGTAAGTAACTCGTCCGATCTTACCAGTCTGATACCCACACCCCATAGCCGCCAAAAACGGAATCCTCTCCTCCGCAACTCCATCCGGAACTTTCACAACACAACTCTCCTGCACAAAACTCTTCTGCAAAAAACTACTCTGTCCAAAAAAATGACTTCTCACCGCCACATCTTTCCCTTCCAATTTCGCCGCCGTCGTGCCATCAGGTCTCACGCCAAACAAGTGTAATCTCGTCCCCTCAATACAATCCGCCGGATGCTCTGCTTTACAAAATTTACACTCTTCGCAGTAATTTATACTCAAAAGCACTGTATCTCCGACTTTGAGGTTTCTTTTCGGATTGACGGCGGAGCCGAGTGCGAGGATTTTGCCGGCCCCTTCGTGGCCGAGGATTGCTGGGTAGGGACACACGCGGATTTGGCCTTGTTGGATTACGAGGTCTGTGTGGCAGATTCCTGAGTATTGCATTTCGACGAGGACTTCGGTGGGTTGGAGGTCGTCGAGGATGAGGTTTTCGAGTTTGAAGGGTTCGTTGGCGTCGTGGACGACGTAGCCGATTGTTGAGATGTTCTTGGTTTGGACTTGGGATGACATTTTGGAGTGTTGGAGTTTTTGGCAGAAGTGTAGTAGATCTTGGATTGAGACTTACCTGGTCAGGATGATAGATAAATGCTCAGCTATACGTCTCCTCTCGAAGCTGGACCCCGCTATTGAATGCAGATCGTAAAGTGTTCACATGTGGTGTGTTGTTATGACATTCAATTCCAGCCAACCCTGGTGATCGAGGTCAGACCAGGTAGTGGGAGCTATCAGGCGTCTTTGTATATCTGTGTCTATTCATGATAGATGAGCAGAGCCATTATGGTGCTTCACCTGAGTACAGGACGCGTCCTCTCAGCCGACGCGTTGTATGTTTGGTTCACCAACTAGAACCCCACCTCGTAGCTATTCATACCGAGGATGCATACTACGGTTCTTTCCTGAACTGGTAATAATTCGAAGAGTAGTAGCTCAGTCATTACGACAAACATATCGCGTTCGGCAGCACTGCAAGTTTGTAGCAAGACACTCACTGCTGTTCCAGAGCTTGACTACGTTGAAGGATGGCAAGCGCTCAGCGTAAAGTGCCAACTCATGAAATATCTTGTTCGTTTCTCGGAGGAGACGCGGTCGAAGAGTCAGCAAATTTTTCAACCAGAGGCGTTCGCGCCTTCACTCTTGCGCGGATGCGGGATAAGACCTCCTCATCAACACTGACATCTGCTTTATCGAGCCTCAACGGTGCTTGAGGTTGCTCGAACGAACTTTGCTGTTGGTCTTGAGCAGGTAGTGTAGATGAATCTTGTGTAGCATGGCCGGCGGACATCGGTTTGGGTTGTGTCGGCGTGGGGGTGTCATCTACAATTTCCTGCTGCTCTTCTTCACCAAATACCTCAGCATCTACAGCTTCATCATGTACAAGATGGGATGTATCATGAACAGCACCATGTGCACGTTCCGGTGTCGGATTTTCAGCATTGATGGCGTCTACTGAAGAATCCGGCACCCGCAATGCCGGAGCATTTTCGATATCCTCATCTGTAGTCTTTTCAGAAGCAGAGCTCGCCAAGCTTTCCACCGAGTCAACGGGTCGTTGTCGGCGGGCTGGAAGAGGCGGTGGCGTCTTTCGAGAAGCAGGATTGGGGCTGCTGCCGGTTTTGTCGGTCTCCCCCATACCACTATTCTCTTGCCACTCTTCGAATTCATCTTCAGCGCGTGGATGCTCTGCTGTGACTTGTGGACCATCTTTAGAAGACTCTGGCGCCCCGGTGGCAGTCGCGGGCTTCCGCGCAGGTAGGACAGGAACAGGCTTGCGGCGTAAGTTGCCAACACCACCCCATATGCCTTTCTGAGGACCAGGGAGTGGTTGTCCTGGAGGAGGCAGCGGCTGTCCTCGGCCCATAGGCTCTGGTTGTAAGTCGCCTTGCGATGCTGCTCGATTGTTCTTGTTACGCTGAATAGCATTCCAGCCCCAGTTGCGCGCCGCTGTAGTGGCAGCAGCGGTTGCAGCGAGAAGATTTGCTTTCTTGGTCTGCAGCTGCTCGCTGCGAGTCGTTCCTATCGAAGTGGGTGCAGTCGATCTATCAGAATCTGTGCTTCGGACGGAGAAAGATCGTGGCGTGGCCGGTAGCGTTGATCCAGAGCCCTCTGAAGTTTCGCCCAGGCTTCGTGCGTCAGTAGCGTCTGGAATCTGTTTGGCGATGTCATCGTCGCTTTCACTTTCAGCTGCGGGCTGAGTTCCGACGCGACTATGAATGCCTCGCAGTTCTTCAAGGGCGTCCTTTTGAGACAGAGGAGCCTTATTTCTCGAGGCCCACAGTGTCCTTTGCGGAGGAGGTATTCCTTCTGATCGAATGGAGCTTACGCTGTGATCATCCATAGCTACACTCGAAGTCGACACTGATGGCGAGCGCATGGGTCTACAAATTTTGTCAGTACATCTCGGTGCTTCGTGGCTTGCGATCACGTACCGTGGAGGGCGAGGGGACTTTTCTGGGGTAGAGAGCATATCGCCGTCCACTGGCATTGTGGCGGCATGACGAAGTCTTGTCAGATTCACCTCAGAAGCTGAATTCCCAGTCGATATGGCAGTATCGATGGCGTCCTGCTTTGTGAGTGACGGCAGTGAGTTGGTTTTCTCGGTATCGTTACCAGCATGTCCTGTTGACATCGAGTTTGAGACAGGAGAATCGGGTTTGCCTTCGTCACTCCAGAGTCCGCCTCTGGTGACGTTGCCTCTTGTGTCGGAGAACGGCATGGGAACGTCGTCCCAATTCGGTCGCACCAAGCCCTCGCTAATAGCAGTCCGCACACGCTCTTCTATGGCTCTTAGCACGAAGCCGTAAGTGATCTTGCGTTCGCTGACCACTGGTTCGACTCTGACCTCCATCTCAGGCACGTTGTCAAAGCAGACCCACAGCCTGTTAGATGGAGGTGGCTTGATCTTCAAAAGCATAGTACCACTGATGCGGTGCAAAGATGTCTTGAGCACAAGATCGACAGTTCGAGCCTTGAAGCGTGGGCCTAGATCGAGCTTGGCAACAGCGAGAAGTGTAAGCGACAGTCCACCATTGTACTTCGTGTTCGCCTCCACTGTCATCTCCCCGGATATGTTCAGATCTCGAAGCTTCAAATTCGTGAAAACAGGAGCGGCATCGCCTAAATCTATTGTGCGAACGCGTAGAGAGGGTATAAAAGTCGGCTTTTGAATTCGCGCAAGCTTCTTCTCGATCTTGCCTCGAACAAAATCACGAAGTCCATCGGTGTTGTGCAACGAGAGAAACACTCGCCCAATGATGGCATCTAGAGCTCTGGTGTCTGCAGTCAAGGAGGAGGAATGAAGGGTCGACTGTAGCTTGATGAGCGCCTCGGCGTTAAGCTGTCTCGGTTTCGGCGGATGCGAGCGTGTCGACAGTAAGGCGTAGTAGAAGTCTTCCTTCTCGATATTGGTAGCTGAAAAGAGGTAAAACGGTTTGGCGGGAGAGTGTGCGGGTCCCTGCAAGGCGCCGTTCGGGAGCTCCTTTGGGGTCAGTACAATTGCAGTTCTCTTGATGAAGAGATCAGACTCTTGGATATGTTTCTCCTTGCCATATTCGTCATCGTCTTTTCCCGCCTGCAATGAAACACTGTGATGTGCCATGCTCAAGACATGCTTGACCTCAACCTGCGCCGGAGAATCGTAGAGCATGAGATGTCCATGGCGAAGGACGATGTATAGGACGTTTGCAGGAGCCGCCCGCCATCGACTGGGTGGGCCGTCTTGATGATCTTCGTCCTGCAGCAGTGAAGATGTGCTATTGTTCCTGTTCCCGACAAATACTGAGCGGTACATGCTCTGGTATACAGATTCGCCGGCAGAGCTTCCACCATTCTCTCCCGCAACACCTCCGTCGCTTGCGTTGTTGCTGCCGGCATTATTTCGAGCATTGATCGCTGTCATTGCTGCTTGAAAGTCATACCGTCTCAGCACGGCGAAGGTGCCACTGGCCGCGGCATCACGTGTGTGTCCCGTCTCTTTGACATTTCTGCTCTCTCCCTCGTCCTCGCCGTCGCTATCGTTGCCAGCTTTGGTCGCTTCGATGTTGGAGACTCGAGGTTGCAGATACCATGCTGGGAGGAGTATGGCTGCTATGAGCAGCGGGATCAGGGTAAGTCCGCCAAAGATGTACGTGAACAAGTACGCGCGGAGGGCCATTGTGGGCGGCGAACATCCTGAGCTCTTCTCATGTCATCTCACAAGACCACAGGTGTCGGGGAAATGGAAAGGGAAAGGGAAAGCAGTGGGAAACCTGATCTGGCCACGCTGCCACTGCCACTGCATGTGAACGCGATGTGATGCGATGCGACGTGAAAGTCGCGGTGACGTAGAAGCTCGGCGCCAGTGCGGAAGCGGAAGTCGCAAAGGCAATCTGGAGCTGCCCCCAAGCGCAGTTTCTCTGCCTTCACTCCTCCGTTGCTGACATGGCACAGCGAGAGCTTACAGTACAGTATCGCCAAGCTGGCTACCAATTGCGCGCCACGGTACACGATGCGATGCCTGAAGATGCGGAGGGACACTATTCGAGGCAGTCATCGGTCTCAAGCTCCCAGTTGAGTGAAGCCTTTGTCTCTGCGTGTCCCATCTAGTACGTAGGACTCGATCTATTGACCTCCAGTTCTGGTAAGTGGCGTCTGCATCCGATGTCTTGCTCTGTTCTTCGCATATGCTTGGACTCGCTCTCCACCATGGAGCCCATCCAACGTCAAGCTGGATCGCACATCAACATTTCGGAGGCGCAGTCGTGAGGACGCCATGGCAGATTCGAAATACTCCGACATACCCATACACGATCGAGAGACACTTCTGGGGGGCGAGTCAGAAGCAGCAGATGTATCGCCCAAATCTCAAAGGCCATGGAAGCGCAATCTCCCCTGGATCCTGAACGCTGCACTGGGAATACTTGTAGCGATACTGGCCATTCAGCTCTGGAAGGTTCCTCACGATCGATACCAACATACTGGAGATGTGAACGGCATCGCGCCTCGATTTTCGCAGAAGCTGGTCAAGTTTATGCCTGAACCAAGAACCCATGCCAGCGTAGGCCATCCGGACAAGAAGAAGGAGACGGATGATTTCTGGCTCACCTTCGCTCCCGCAGGCTTTGGCTTACTCGACATCAAGGATTATTCGCCAGGAAAGTACCCGAAGCTCGCGAAGCCGACAGTCAAAGAGGGTTACAATGTTGTAGATACCTCCATGGCCCATCAGCTGCATTGTCTGCACAGCATCATGGACGCGTACAATCAGATGGCGCAAGGCCTTCCGCCACACCATGGAGGGCATATGATAAGAGAAGAAGATCACTCGTGGCATTTGGGCCACTGCTTTGATTACATTCGGCAAGGCATAATGTGCTGTGGAGATACAGCACTTGAAGGAGCTGCGACTATGTTTCCGGAAGGCAAGGAGGGCTCGGATGGCTGGAACACATACCATGTCTGCAAGTCTTATCCTGAAGTCAAAGGGTGGATCGAGGACATGATGTTCCTGAACCATGTCAACGCTACGGAGGAAGAGAGATAGACGGATCGTGGGTTGGCCGAGTTGGCAATGGAAGGACGCGACTAGCAGATACCAAGCCTCATAGCAATCTATTATGCACTTCAGAGGCCATCGACCGCCGCCAAGGCTCCACTGATTATCACAAACTTGCAAGAGACGCTCTCATACACGGAGACCGCTCTTGCTGCGTATTTTGTCTTCCCATTTCTTTCTCTTCTTGCTCGTCGGCCATAGCGTGCCTTCCCTCCAGTCTCGAGCCAAGACTCCCGAAAGGGTTTAGATCCGTGAAAGCGACCTCACCTCGTTCTCCTTGCACGTTCTCCATTCTCATCCACCATCTGCACAACACGTCAAAGTCGACCAGATGACAGAATGCGCCTATGATTCCTATCATACCCGCTGTCGCGCAAAGTTACGAGCCTGCGGGCTGCAGAGTGGCAAATGAAACCGGGATTCTGGCAGGGCGTCTGCTATCTGAACTCACACTGAGACCAACATGGACCTGTCTCGCTCGGCGTCGGCTATCATCGCACGAGATTTCGAAATAAATCATGGGCAACTTGAACAGGTCCAGTGCTGGCGCTGCTCTGCTCGACAGGCTTGACATGCACTGAGAAAGAATCCTCGATCAAAATCTTCCTTCATCTCGACCAGGCGTTAACCATGCTGGTTCCAGAGGCATTGAGAAACGCTGGCATCGCCGGCATGGCTGCGCGATTGAGTCCGGAAGTATGAGGCTCTTCAATGACCGGGAGCCAACCGCACCGATTCGGGCCAGGCAGCGAAGAAAAGCCTCAGCAGCACGGTTGCTCTCATATCTCCAGAAGCGGGCTGCTTTCGACCCGTGGTCCATGATCCCGTCCAAGCGCTCACTATTTCGACGAACTCCTGGGCGAGGAAGTGCGCTGAGATCTCAGCCATATGGCTGTCCTTGCAAGCTCGGAAGCAAATGGGCTCATCTCAACTTTCCTGATGGTTCAGGTCATCAGTTGACGTCACTCAGTCTGCCCACCACGAATCATGACAGGAAAGCTGTCATTCTGCTGTGCTCTCTGCCCACTCCGCAGAGGTCCAGCCTTTTACAGCGTCGGTTTGAGAGGTAACGAGCGTAGATGCAGGGTCGTACGCTAAGCTGCTCATTTTGAAACACAAGAATGTCGCACAACTTGGCAGCAGCATCGTCTTCACAAGCAGAGTGTATTGCAGCTACCGTGACTGCCATGATTTACGGCGTGAGTCTCGTGGAGTACTCGCTATTTCGACGAGTTTTGGGGTCAGCTGGCGCATGCAGACCTCCATAGCAGGCTATTTGATTCTCTGGATGCAGTTGCCAATGAATCTGGCCGCTCTGAACTTGAAACCTAGAGTCGGACAGCGAAGAAAGACCCGAGCAGCACGATTGAGCGATTGTGTTCGGAAGCGCAGGATAAGTTTTCCACTACCGCCGTCGGAGGCCTCGCTCTGTCGACGGGTTCTTGGACCAAGTCGGAGCGAAAGTGGAAGCATGTCGTCTCACATCCAAATCATCCTCCTGGATCCAGTGACTTCTCGCTTGAACCTTAGGTTTCCATTCATTTTTGTTCGATGTTGCGATCGACTCTGGGAAATACACCAATTTCGATTACTCGCAAAAGGATGTGGAGCGCGGAGGCTCATACTAGATGGTCGAAGCATTGCTGCCAGAGCAGAGCCTTGGAGCTTAGCGTTTCGCCGGTCGGTTTGCTGCTGGCCATTCTGTCCGCTCTGCCCTCCTTGTCACCAAAATCTTACCCTATGCGCCTCTTCGAACGATACAGGGCGCCGAAAGCCGCAACGAGCATTGGTCAGCGTAGACTATGGACTATCTACGGAAGCAATGCGTTAATGTCGGCACTGGCCACTGCGGACTGATCTGTTCTCCCAATCGAACGCGAATACGCCGTACCTTCGACTCGATGTGTTGATGTCTAGAATCAGGCGAGGATCGATCATGACTCTGCGCAGCATATCAATTTTGATCACTCGCAAAAGGATGTAGAGCGCGGAGGCCCATACCAGATGGGGGAAGCATTGCCGCCAGAGGAGAGGCCTGGAGCTCAATCTTTATGCGTCAATACTTGGAATCGGGCGAGTGTGGACCGTGACTCTGCGCAGCTTGTCCGTTGTGACGCCTCGCAGAAAGAGACGCAACGCTCTGAAGTCATGTTTTTGGTGGAAATACTTCTTCTAGTGCGCTGACCACTCATCCCCGATGGCTGGAATGGGACGACTGTCGATCACAACTCCGCTCAACTTGACATTTTGACGCCTCGCACAATGACATGAAACGCTCTGAAGTCATGTTTTTGGTGGAAGTACTTCTTCTGGCGGTACGCTGACAACTCATCCCCGGTGCCTGGAATCGGACGTGTCGATCACAAATCCGCGCAGGTTGCCCATTATGACACCTGCAGAATGAAGTGGAACGCTCCGAGGTCATATTACTATGGAAGTACTTCTTCTGGCCCCCGGTGCCTAGAGTCGGACGACTGCCGAGTACAACTCCGCGCAGCCTGTCCATTATAAAGCCTCGCAGAATGACATGGAACGCTCCGAGGTCATATTACTACGGAGTACCGGTACTTCTTCTAGTAGTACGCTGACCATCCACTCCGCGCAGCCTGTCCAATTTGACGACTCGCAGAATGACATGGAATGCTCCGAAGTCATATTACTGTGGAAGGACATGCACTGCTTCTGGTGGTACGCTGACCATCCACTCCGCGCAGCCTGTCTATTTCGACACATCGCAGAATGACTTGGAATGCTCCGAGGTCATATTGCTGTGGAAGGATATGCACTGCTTCTGGTGGTACGCTGACCACCCACTCCGCGCAGCCTGCCCATTTTGACGCCTCGCAAAATGAGTTGAAACGTTCCGAGGTCATATTGCTGTAGAAGCATTCCTTCTGGTGGCACTCTTAGTAACTATCCACTCCGCGCAGCCTGTCTACTTTGACGCCTCGCAAAATGAGTTGAAACGCTTCTAGGTCATATTGCTGTGGAAGCATTTCTTCTAGTGGCACTCTTAGTAACTATCCACTCCGCGCAACCTGTCCATTTTAACGCCTCGCAGAATGAGTTGAAACGCTCCGAGGTCATATTGCTGTGGAAGCATTTCTTCTAGTGGCACGCATCTCTTCTGGTGGCACTCTACCTTACCTAGTTACTATCCACTTCGCGCAACCCGTCCATTTTGACGCCTCGAAGAATGCCATGGAACGCTCCGAGGCCATATTACAATGGAAGCAATTCTGGTACGCTGAACCGACCTCGATAGCAAGGCTGATAGACATACTGGAAGCGAAGGTATTTGCTACTCAACGCTCCATTCTTGATGCATCCTGCCGAGACCCGGGTCTGGCATTCCTGTCCACAGTATACCTGCATGTCGCGGAGCTACTATTCTAGTCCATGCCTTCCACTGCTATCTCCTGGTCACGAGCTTTCTGCTGCATCTCCTCCAATCGACCTCGCTTCTGCACTTTGCGCAGTAGATTCTTCATCTGTAGCATCTCCTCCCCCCTGAGCAAAATATTGGCAACCTTTGCTTTGTACTTGACTACGGAACGTGGTCAGCAAGCTGGGAGTGTTTGGACATATCAAGGGCGAGTCACTTACAGAAATCTTCCACGGCCTGTGCTGAGATACCCAGAGCTTCTGTCAACATATAGCTCTCTGCCGAATTTGGAACGCCATATTCTTGGAAAAAGTCTTCGAGCGTCTCTCGCACATGCAACGGGAAGTCTTCGTTTGATTGGGTCGTGGTGCGCTCGGTGAGATTGTTGCCTTTGGCCAGGCGATCAGCGTCATGTCCAAATCGCTGGTGGTATGCACTGCTCAGGAGTTGGTAGTCGCTCGAAGTCAGATCTGGGCCTTGCTGGATAGAGCGCTGCGTGCTATTGCCTGCTAGGTCTTGCTTGGGCTGAGGTGTATCCGGATCCGCGATCTTCAGTAGCATCAGGTCTTGGAAGTTATTCTTGACCTGCGACTCTTCGCGGTATAGCTGATTGAGCTCCATCAAGTGCAGTGTGTTGACTGGCCGATCGCCGCGGAAAAGAATCTTGCGCGAGTGCTTTGCGCCTGCTGCAGAAGGTGGCTCAGGGCCACAAGTTGTGACATTGCGGTCGCAGAGTTCAGCCGCTGAGGCAACGATGCTCCGGACCTCATTGATGGTCGTGCCGCTCAATTGCGCCATGTTGTGCTGTTGTCGCGGCGTGGAAGTGGAAGGCTTCGAAGCTACGAGCGTTTTCGAGTTGACAACGCCGAGCGTTAAACAGCAAACACAGCAGACCTGCCTCTTGGCAGCGACCGACCGACGATCCAACACGCAGGGCTACAAGACGGCATTTAGATGTCAGTACACTTTCTCAAACCGATCACATGGAGGAGATGGGAACAATGTACAGAAGATTCGATTCATGCTACATACAAAGAGGCAACAAGCGCCACAATGGCGGGTATCATGCAGAGCAGTCATGTCCATCCCAAAGAGCAAAGCAACAGAAACGCCACAGCTCACTGCATGTCTTCATTGATGAACTCCCAGTTCAGCATCTCTTCGAGCGGGTCACTCATCTCGTTCTGCGCCATCGACATGCTAGGGTCGAAGGCATCCCAGCGTCCATCATCCTCGACTGCGGTGTTCGGGGCAGCAGGGTTGAAGCTGATGTCGAACTGGCTAGGCAGGATAGCTGGATCGAAGAGGCCGTTGTACGGGAACTCGACGCCAGACTGCTCCAGGACACTGGCCGCCTGCTCGAGTGTTGTCTGACCAGCCGCCGAAGCGACCGAGAGTGGTGAAGGGCCGACATTGTTGATCGACGAGGGTGGAGAAATGGCGAAGCCGCCGAAGGCAGCCTGCTGGAGTCCTCCGTTTGTGCTGCTGTCGGGCGTAGCTGCGTTGAAGGCAAGGATGGTGTCCGTCTGAGCGAAGGGTGACATGTGTGTGGTCTCGTCCTTGTCGTTGGTCGTGATGGCAGTTGGCTTAGAGACCATGGTGAGCGAACCATGGGTGCTCGCGTTCTGTGAGTCATTGTTGCTGGCCTTGCCGTAGCCCATGGCGTAGCAGTGGTTGACCAGGTCATCTGCACTGAGAGTGGTCGTCGTGAACTTCTCAGGAAAGGTGTCGAGGCTTGGGGTGAAGAGGCGAGTGATCTGCGGCATCTTGTCCTGGAAACAATGTCAGCTCAGTACACATGCTAGGTGGCTCAAGACATACCTGATCGCCATCCTGTGGCGGACTCAACTGCCATCCCATCCGCTGCAGATACTCTTCTGGCGGAATGACGCCGATGAGTGGTGCGCAGATGGCGAAGAACTCGTCAAGCGGAGCATCTTTCTTCTCGCGGCATCCGCGCACGATACTGTATGCCTTGGCGAGAATGGACCTGTGAAATATTAGACTGCTGAGCACAGAAGACGCGAAGAAGAAAGTATACTCACCACTTGCCCTCGAAGAGATCTGCACGCCAGAGGATCGTCAAGCACTTGGAGATCGATTTCTGAGTGTACGATGCGAGCAGCCTGTTGTAGAACTCTGAGATGGATGTCAGTACAGTGCGACGCAAGTGAAACCCGATGCACTTACTGCGATATGCCATCCAGGAGTTGAGCGGTCGCTTTGGCCCAACGGCCACAAGGTCAGATTTCGCCTTCTTGCGCTGCTTCTTCTCGGGCTTCGCTACAGCCGAGCTGGTGACAGCCATGCCAGGTGCTGCATTTGGCACAGGGCGCCTTGCTGCTGCTTGCTGCAGCGTGCTCATGATTTGACTGGCCATGCCCTCGCTGCAAGTCTCGAGGTAGGCTCGCAACTTATCTGACAATGCGTCGGTAGCCATGTCGGCGGTAGTGGCTCCGATTGTTTGGGTATGGTGAAAGGGTGATAACAAAGGGATGTGCGAATGCGGTATGTGCGAGGTCGAAGGGAATGTTTCGAAGTAGAAGTTTCAGAAAGGAACGCGGTCTTAGATACTGTGGAAGACGCATTGACCATGACCGCACCCGCAATTAAGGTTCAGCACATGCAGGAACCAAAGTCGCACAAATCTAAACAGCATCCGCCTTTCGTTTGAAGCTGGCACTAATTGCCACCACACCTCACATGGTCAGCGCAACATCAACGTCAACTCACAAGCTGCGGACAAGCCACGCGTCTTGACAGAAACCCAGGCTGTCAAGATGGATATCCTACTGACGAACTTCCCGCACATGTTCCCGAAGGATCCAGACTTCATCAATGAGAAGAAGGCTGCCAGCAACGTCACTTTTGACGGAGATGGCGGCGTCGCTGAAGGTCAGATCAGTTCATCTCGTGTTCGCTACCATCCGCTGACAACAACAGACGAAGGTCCTTCCACTGATGATGTAGAGCACGTTGAGCAAGAGTTCCTCGACTCCATCATCGACAAAGTGAACGAGGTTGAGCTGAAATGCTGGATGTACTACAATCGCTACGAAGGCCACACAATGCAGAACCCACTCACGCATGACACCTCCGAGCACCTCAGGGAGGCATTGGCGATCATGTACAAGGTCATGCCGGAAATGAAGCGACTCGAAGAGCATCCGGAGGTTTTCAGCGACGTCCGCCAGAAAGAGCGATTCTTCCTCCGTGTCGGCAAGATTATGAAGTTCTGTGTCAAGCTCATTGATATCATGGAGGAGTCCAAGGCGCTCATCGTGCGCTCCCAGAAGAGAATCGACGGATGGACCAGCTCGAACCCGATCAATCCTTGGACCAAGCAACCATACCAGCCATGGGAGAGCTTTGGTCGCAAGATGCCTCTGTTACAGGACTCTGCAGCCGTGAAGGAGATTCAAAAGCTCGCTCCAGATATGCGCATGATCGCCGCCCAGCAGCTTCCTCAAAACGGCGTGCTCATCAGCGAGCGATACAGACAGAAGCATGAGAGAATCGTGACGGACATCATGCAGCAGTCTCCACGTCCAGAGGTTGTCGAGAAGCAATTGCCAAGCAGAGACGCTCCAATCTCCGGAGAGAAGGTCGTGGAGGGCCTGAGCGCAAAGATCAGACGGCCAGCTGCAATGGTTCCCATGAATGACAATGTAAGATCACAAATACATCAAAGTGCCTTCAAATACTAACAAATGCATAGACGAAGAAGGCATGGGCGTTTGGCAAGCAGGAGCACATTGCAGAGATGGGACGTCTCATGGCTTTGTATGATGGTGATGTGACTACGCAGAACCGCGTACCACCAGCCGCATTCCAGGCTACATTCCTGAGCGCAGAGGGCATGCGCGCGGTCCAAGAAGCACGTGACCTCATCGAAGAGAATCGCGACGAGAATTGAGAATTGTGTAGTAGAGGATAGGCAGACTATTAGACAGATTACTCTGCCTCAGGCCCCCCATCCACCCGGACCCCAGGACAATCTTTATCCACCCGCTCTTTACTTCCTTTCCTTCTCCACTTCACTTCGAACCTGACCGCTCCAAAACCGCGCGTAAATCTCAGAACACCGCTCCGCTGCGCCTCAGCAACGGCGCTAACGTTTCAGATCCAGGAGCGGACAGAAACGTCCAAGCTTTCCATATGAAATTTTTGCACGTGACTGAAATAAAAAATTGGGATTTAGGCGGGAGGTACGAGAACGGGGGGTTGAGGATGGGAGGATATGGTGAGGAGGGTAAGTGTGGGTTGGGGAGGGGGGACGGGTGGGGTTTGATGGTGTTGCTGCCCGGAAAGGCCGGGAAAGGTTGGAGGTGGGGAGGGAGGTTCGATGGGTATGCCATGCACAGGCTGAAGATGAACTCGGAGGGACATGGAAATGCTTGGAGGTTGTAGAGCGTACTCGAAAGGTTCTCAGTGGTCATTGTAGTGTGGTTCACTGCCTTTGAGCGTGTGTTGTGGCTGTCGGGCGGAAATCCGCTTTGTCTGCATTGCAGCGCCAGCAGGGCAAATGGCGCGGAACCCCAAAAGAACATTGACAGGGCTATCTCTGAGTCTTGAAAGATGCATGGAAGTGCTGCAAGTGCCGGTCAACACCCTGCGGTGGTGTTAATTGTCCATCGAAGGAAATGGCTGTTTGAGGACAGCGAGGTCAACTCAGCGGCAAATGGCAATGACCAAGGTCAGACCCATATCACCGAATAGCTCTGATCTTCTAGAATGAGAAGATTCCGGTTTGATTGTGCTCGCTGTCGGTCGTTGTCGAGATAATGTCCGCCAAGCATTTTGACGTCGCAGCTGGAAAGACCATCATGTATCGTCAGGAAGGAACAACGTGTCCCTTCAAGTCAGAGACAAGAAGTGGACGTTCTTCAGCACGCCAAGAAAGATGGATAGTGGTTTTGATGCCAATATACTGATGATGTTGATGGTATCCTGGTCCAGAGGGGAAAGCCCGCTGGCGCCGGCGAGGTCGATCTCGATGATGAGGGTAGCAACACAAGTCTATAACACATCTTCGCATATCTGGGATCATCAAGAACAAGCTCAATGTTTTGAGATCCGGGTTGCTGCCTATGTTCCAAAAAATGAGCGTATTTTCAGAATCCAGCATCCAGGCCGACGAGGCAAAGGACGCGCCAACAGGCAGTAACCACAACTACCCACACCGATTCTGATCCAGAAGATCATTTAGAAGAATAAAGAATGGATAACTCTGTGCGCGGGTCCTTTGGGCGCGAAATATATGGCCGGAGGGAAAGTCCGTGTTGGCGCCAGCGAGGTTGTTCTCGACATCGAGGGTAGCGAACAAGACCAGACAGAAGTCATTGGACATTAGGTGACTTCAAGAACGTCCGCAAAAGGAAAAAGTGCCACCCACTGCTGTTCTTCGTCGAAAATCCGTCCCACAAGCGAATCCGTTCTTGCGCCAGCAAGGTCATCCACATCTTTGAAGGCAGCGACCACGAAAAAGCCGCATATTCCAGAGTCCTTACTTCAAAAGTAACCTCCGCTGATGGACGTATTCCAGGTTGCTGCCTTCGTTTGCAGATATTCTGTATATGGGAGGAACTGGCTGCACAGCCGGAAAGGTCAGAAAGCAAGATTGAAGGACAGCAAGCCAGAAAAATGTTTCAGGCTTCGGTTAAATGGCTCCTAGATTCTTTTGAGACATGAAGATTGTGGATGAAAACCTTCTGTCGAGCGGAATATGTCCAGGTTGTAAAAGCTTCCAAGCCTGACGGGGTCGTTTGCACCGACGAGATGCCAAATTGGAGTCCGGATGAACAGGAGGTTTACTTTGAAGGATTTTGATGAAGGACTTGTATATAGTTCGTACAGTCCGGATTGTTGCTGCGAAGAATGAGCCATGTCGTATATTCCGCAGGACCAATACGACTTCCCGTGCGCGGACATAAAAGTCTCCAAGTCCTGGATAATGGGACTGAGGAATATATTTGGACAGTGACGAGCTCTATCACATCTCATCGCATTTCGTAAAGCAAAAGGGTATCGTCTGTACATCGTCCATATATCCGATTCAAATCGCAGTTCTCGTGCTCTTCACAGGACTTCCTGCTCCCTGTCCAGTCGCCGCCCCAACTCCCTTCCCTTTGCCAGCCTGCCAGTCCGAAGACCAGATAAAAGTACCACATCTCCATTGCGTTCCTCGCTCTTTCTCTCCGCTCGGTCCAAGCGGTCTCGCACACATCCAAAAACTCCTGCCCTGGTTACTGCCTTTCTTCTTAGTCAGCATTGTCTTGCAAGGCTCATGATGACCTTCGCATAGCGGTGCCACGGGCCTCGAGAAGAGCGCGCCCCATTGATGCTGAGACTTTTCAGCGGAAGCGAGCTTGGAGGCAAATTTGCGAGGTGATGGATCTGTGTCGGCTGTAATTTGTGAAGCTGACGGCGTTCGTGGTGGTTCTGTGGTCTCACTATCTTCATTGGACTCTACGCCTCCTGTATTCGGCGCTGTACTGTCAGTGTCCTCGGTTTCATTCTTCAAGTCTTTCTCTGCGGATTGTGCTGCGGCCGTGATTGGGACACTCTTCGCTTGAAAGAAGCCCTTCAAGCTTTGTTGGCCTTTGGTTGGAGCAGTCTTGATGTCCGACTTCTGCTTCTTGAAGGGATACTCCTTCGGCGTTGTAGAAACGGATATCTTGCGTTTCGCAGGTGCAGTAGAACCTTCCGTCTCGACAGCTGGTTGACTGTCATCTGCCTGCGCAACTGACCCTGGAGGAGTGGGCTGCTGAGACTTCTTCAAAGCTGGCGCCGCAAACATCGACTTGATCGTTCTTCGCTTGTCGAACTCTGGCATTCTCTTGGCAGAGAAGCCTGGCGTCGATGCTATCGTCCATTCTTGCTTCCTCTCGCCACCAACAAACACTGCAGGGGGGTTCATGATGTCCAGTAATGCTATCTTGCCATCATTCACAGTCACCTCATTCTCAAAGTCAATATACACAGGGCAGTGATCGGAGCCCAGCAATCCTTCTTGAATGTTGCCATACTTCACCCACGATCGCAAAGCCTCTGATACCAGCACGAAGTCAATCCGACTGCCAAAGTTGCCAGGTCGCGCGTTGACTTTTGTATCCCAATGAGTGTACATGCCTTTCCGGTCGGGATGGAAGATGCGTGTGGTGTCCCAGAATACGCCTTTCTCTCGTCCTTCGTCTCGCTCACCAACCACTTCCCCGTCGATGAGTTGTTGATTGAAAATCCGCCGATTCGGACCCGATATGAAGTCTTCGTGTGTGATCAAGCCCTTTCTCATCTCTTCGAGAGTTGGACCAGAGTCGATTTCGTGTCTAGTCACATTCAAGTCTCCGACCAAGATGACATTCTTGCCAGCTTTGATGAGGTTTCGTATGCGATGGTCTAGAGCACACACAAATCCATGCCGGAAGCCATCTCTCAGCCCATTGCTGTTCGCAGGAGAATAGACGCCAAAGAGCACGAATGCTGGGAACTCAACAACCACACATCGTCCTTCAGCATCCAAGCCCGCTGGATCCTCCCCTCCTATCTCAGCGATATCTGCCATCTGGACCGACGTGAGATATCCTCCAATGCTGTCCTCATCAGGCAGGTCGCGATAAGGCGTGCCGTTCGCGCTGGGAAGGACTCCAAGCACACCTTCCTCCGCTCTGATGGGCGCGCATGTGGCATTACGCGTGTAGATGCCCACGCCGCTGTAGCCTTTCTTGTGTTTCGGTAGACTGAAGTAGCAGTCCCAGCCATCGACCAGAACCATGTCGTCGCGTAGGTCCTTGCGCTGTATCTTGAGCTCTTGCATGACGACGATGTCGGACTCGAGGATATCGAACATGGCGCTGAAAGTTCGCGAGACATTCCATGGCGGGTAAGAGAAGGGATTGCGAATGCCATTGACATTCCTACACATAGTCAGTGCATGCACGCGGTATGCCTTGTCCATGATATGCTGCTTACCACGTTGTGAGCCTCATCGTGGCCAGCGATGGCTGTCTGTCGAATTCCCTTCTCCGCGTACTGTCATCCTCGATACGTTCAGCCGGTCGCGATCACCCTCTCACTGTCGGTATCTAACGCAAGGACAATGTTGACCAACGATCCCACTTTCCCAAGCCCCAGGTCGTGACTGCCACAGCTGCGTCCGACCAGAAGCTCCCCGTCAATTGCTAAGCAACTATTGGTTAGCCATTTTGAAGGAGCTCGTTCACCTCCACGGACGCGCTCACGTTCAGCCTTCAGGCACGGGGATGAGTGAGGGACTCTAGAGGACGATGCCTCGCTATCTTACGCCGGCACGCATCTGCTTGCTGATCCTCATCCGCCTGTACCAAGCCGGCCACTGCTCCTCCGACCTCCATGTTCTGGACTTCATCGCACGACACGCCGTCGTGACAAGCGAGCACGATGCGCACGCAATACATGAGCGGAAAGCACTCTACTCGCCACACATCACTGGTCTCGCCAAAAGACTGCAGCAATGGAGCACTCGCCACCCCGGCCAGAGTGTCTACGATCTGCTGCTTCACGCGCTGTGGGAGCTGAATGGCCTCGACCATTTGTCTGCTGTCATCACTCAGATGAAGTTTTTGACGGTACCGGGAGGCAATCCGGAGAACCCCGATGTCACGGTCAGGCCTATCACGCCTGCAAGTCCTCTGGGGCAGTTCGTCCGACGCTGCTATGTCGAGCTCACACGGCTGCACTTCGCAGACTCGCAGGCACTGTGGAACGCTTTCGCAGCGTACAGAGCGTCGACTTGGGACGGCTTCTCAGCTAGAAACCCTGACCTCGCCGAGCAGATCAAGGCAGAGAGCAATGCGCGATCTTTTGGTAGTGCCCCGGCGCCTTCCACAGACTTGACAGAGACAGCTGCAGCAAGCGCCGTCGATGCTGATGTTCTGCTAAGCTACGCGATCCATCAATTGCAGAAACTGGGACAGCGAGTGCCTGAGGATATCAAGTCCCGACTCGGACAATGGGTCGAAGATCAGTACGACTCCGGTACGCAAAGTCTGCACTTCTTCATGGCCTTCTTCGAGCATTGGCGTGCCGGCGAATACACGATGGCACTCGAAAGCCTTCATCGCTACTTTGACTACTCCCTAGCCGCCAGACCTGGAAGCGACAATATGAAGATTTACTACCAGTACGCCCTCCTCCATCTCAGTGTACTACATGCAGACTTTGAATGTTGGGAGGAGAGCGTCGATGCCATGAACGAATGCATCGCCACGGCGCGAGAGAATCAAGACACGGCTTGCCTCAACTTCGCCCTGTCTTGGCTGCTCTACCTCCGTCATGGTCACCCTTCCAACGACAAAGCTGGATTTCAATCTGTCTCTGGATATATTGGCAGCAACGGCGGCGAGCAAGACGAAATCAACTTGCTCAAACAGCGAGCCCGTGAAGGCAAGCACTGGATGCTGATGAGTAGTACTCTTCTGGAAGAAGGTCGAATGGCGATGTTTCGTGGCGATGGTGCGAATCGTGCTCAGGAGCACATCCTCCAGGCCATGTTTCTGAACGTCCAACATGACCTTCGGACCTTGATTCCGGCTGGTCTCCTATTCCATGGAGCATGTCATGATCGACTCGGCCAAGCACATCTCGCAGATCGCATGTACGAGCTACCAGATGCTGTTCATGCTTCGCACTGCCCTACAAATGATCGGGTAAGGTCGATCTGCCGTCTTGCTCTCACTACCTCGCAGCGCGGAAACACGACAGCTGCCCTTCAGCTCCTCGAGAGTGCGTTGCCCGCGGTTAAGGGTGTCCTCAAATCCGAGCAGAGGCTGAAGGCATTTACTGCTTTGGTAAACCTCCGCTATCGTATATGTCAAGACGACAGCGATGCAGCAGAATACTACCTCAGACAGCTCATGCCTATACGGTCCTCAACAGACCCCGAGATTGCCTACGAGTTGGACCTTCTGGAGGTGGAACTGCTGCTCAGGAATAAGACCTACGAGGAGGCTCTGAAAAAAGTGAGCTCACGTCTACAGGAGCTTCAAGGTACTGAGAGAGATATTGCACAGCGGCTGCACTTCCTGTTATTGAAAGCTCGAATCTTCGCCCTTGCGGGGCAGGCGCCAAAGGGTTTCAGTATCGCCTTGCGAGCAACATCTACTGCGGAGCGGCATCTGCTCCTACCTATCTTGTTCGAAGGATTGGCGGTTCTAGCACGCGTGCTGCTGGATCTTGGCGCGTTCAGCATGGCAGCAGCACTTTGCGATGCTACCTTGCCGCACGCATACGAAGCGCGGAACACCGGCCTCACAGCTAGGCTTTTCGTCGCAATGGGAGAAGCTGCAGTAGGGCATGCCGGTCACGGTTGCGCTGCTGGAAGTACGGAACAGGCTCGGAGTATGCGCAGAGCGATGGGTTTGATCGAGAGAGGACGCGAGATGTATCAGAGGACTAAGGACGTGCAAGGTCAGCTTGACTGTCTCCTCAGGAAGAGCAAGATTGCGAACTGGAGTGAGGATGCTGCCTCTGCATCACAGGCTGATGACATGTACTTGCAGCTATTGGCAGAGAAGCGGTCTTGAGCATAGCATTAGAGTTCGGCAGCATCACGTGATAGCGCGCCCCTTCACTCACATTATCTGTTCTGATCACAAGCCTCGCTAAGCAAATGCGCCTGCGCTCGGACCAGTCGCGTTTGTCGCAGCATCACTTCTTTATAAATACTTCAAATACTTCTTCCACACCACCACCTACTTTGACTCGACATCAAACTTTGCGCAAAAATTTCTCCACATCCCGACTCATCAACATCACATACTCGACAAAATGGCAGACACGGATGTGGTCACAACCATCGAGGCGACATCGGTCGGCCTCAAGAAAATCGCATCAGGCAAAGTCCGCGAGATCTTCGAGGTGGATGAGAACACTCTCCTTTTCGTCGCCACCGATCGCATTTCCGCATACGATGTGATTCTCGAGAACGTAAGTAAAGCAGCACCATCTCCTATCATCCCAATTAACAAATTCTAGGGCATTCCCGCCAAAGGCGCCCTCCTCACCCAACTCTCAGCCCACTGGTTCTCTCTCATCAAATCGCGCTTCCCGGATCTTCAAACCCACCTCATCTCAACATCTCTCCCCCCAACAGTCTCGAAGAATGTCTCTTCTCAACTCGAGTCCCGCAGCATGCAAGTCCGCCGCATTCCGGTCATTCCACTCGAGTCTATCGTTCGCGGATATATCACTGGTAGCGCGTGGTCGGAGTACAAGAAGTCTGGTACCGTGCATGGAATGCCTATGCCTGAAGGTCTGAAGGAGAGTCAGAAGCTTGAGAAGCCCATGTGGACTCCTTCGACTAAAGCTGAGCAAGGAGAACATGACGAGAATATCTCGCGAAGCAAGGCTGTGGAGATTGTGGGTGAAGAGGTTGCTGCCAAGGTTGAGGCGGCGAGTTTGAAGATTTACGAGATGGTGAGTTGTGCGAAAAATTATTCCTGAGGAATTTTTGCGACATGCTAATTTTCTTTCTTGCCAGGCCCGCGACTATGCTGATGCGCGTGGTATCATCATCGCCGACACCAAGTTCGAGTTCGGTCTCGATCCCTCTACCCACGAGATCGTCCTCATCGATGAGGTGCTCACACCCGACAGCTCGCGGTTCTGGCCAAAGGATCAATACGAAGTCGGCAAGGGTCAAGCAAGCTACGACAAGCAGTACCTTCGAGACTGGCTTACCGCTTCAGGACTCAAGGGCAAGCAGGGTGTCAGTATGCCGCCAGAAGTGGTTGACGAGACTGCGAAGAAGTATCGCGAGGCTTACGAGAAGCTGACTGGAAAGGCTTGGGTGTAGTCGAGTTCGGGAAGAATGGACGAGGTTACTAGATTGGAATATCGCGAGGCCTACGAGAAGCTGACTGAAAAGGCTTGAGCGTAAGCAAGTTCGGGAAGGATGGACGAGGTTTCGAGATTGGAATATTCTGCAAGCGATGGGCGAGAAGCTTATATCATGGCCTCTTTGGAGTAGAATACCTGCATTCTAAGTCTTTTTCAAGAGATAAGAATGTATACTGCTCTGAAATCGCATTTTCTCTTTTGCGCACGCATCTGCTGATTCATTTGGCGGAATTGGCAAGACTCGTAAAAGCAAGATGACACGCGTAGTACTCAGTATAGCCAAAGGTAGATTCAGCAGGTGAAGTGCGTTGTGGAATACCTTATGCAGAACTTGAGACTTCGAACGCAGACGAGACTATAGCAAGACTAACAAATACATGTAGCATGAAAGCGAGCCCTGTTTATGTTGCTATCTTGACCAACACATCATTATGAACTCACACTACAACATCCTCGCTTTCCGAATCACAAGCCCCCCTCTCTGAAAGACCTCGCTACACCGAGACCATTTCAAATCTGAGACTACCGAGCTCGCATCCGCTCTAAGACCTGCACCTGCAGACCATCTTTTTCAATACCTGCCTCCGCAGACATTGCTTACCGAGACGCTCTTTCGAGACCTGCCTCTATAGATATCGCTTACCGAGACGCTCTTTCGAGACCTGCCTCTGCAGACATTGCTTACCGAGACGCTCTTTCGAGACTTGCCTCTTTGCCTTGTGGAGACTATCTTTTCGAGACTTGCCTCTACAGACGTCTATGCCTTGTGGAGACTCTCTTTTCGAGACTTGCCTCTGTAGACGTCTATACCTTGTCGAGACACTCTTTTCGAGACTTGCCTCTGTAGACGTCTATACCTTGTCGAGACTCTCTTTTCGAGACTTGCCTCTGTAGACGTCTATGCCTTATCGAGACTCTCTTTTCGAGACTTGCCTCTGTAGACGTCTATACCTTGTCGAGACTCTCTTTTCGAGACTTGCCTCTGTAGACGTCTATACCTTGTCGAGACTCTCTTTTCGAGACTTGCCTCTATAGACGTCTATGCCTTGCCGAAACTCTCTTTTCGAGACTTGCCTCTGCAGACCTCTACTCAACCAGCAAAGAAACCTGAAGAGACACTTAGTCCTCTTTGACTCCTGTGTTGTCCTCCTCTTCGTCACTATCGAGATCGCCAGCCTCATCGCCAAGATAACCCTTGATGGCGACATTGCTGCGTGAGCGCTCCGCTGCCTGGATTCGGGCCCTCAACTCTGCCTGCCTCGCCTCGAGCTTCACATTCACCTCCTCCTCTTGCTTGTCTAGTGCCTTCTGAAGCTCGCTCATGATGTGGTCATTCCACCTGTCATCTTTGCAGAATTCAAGTAACCAAGGCGGGCCGTCTGGATATCTGCTCACATCGAATCCGTTTGGATTGTTTTCATTGTAGGGCTTACCAGAACCAGTTGGAGGCAGTGATGTCGCAGTTTGCCAATGCAGTTTATCCTGACCATCGGCACGTGGATAGAAAAAGGGTTCCATCCAGTACCAATGAAGCTTGAAAAATTCCAGCGCTGACTTCTCACCATGGAATCCAAGGCGCTGGAACTCGGCAGCAACTGCTTCCATGTAGTCCCGGTGGACTTTCTCACATTGGGGTCGCATACAATTGCCCTCCCACCGGCAATACTCCACCAGACATTTGGCATTGGCTTCCTTGCAGTACTGACAAGGAATGTGATGATTGCATGATAGCTTGAAAGCCCGACAGCGCGCGCAGACTACTGCGAGAGCACGGTCTTCCATCCAGGAATGAGCCTGTTTATTGTGTTTCTCCGGTTCGTAATCAGCAAGGACTTGGTCGAGGCTGAGCCCAGAAGAATGCCACAGGTGCATGGCCATTGTCTCCTGACATTCGAGGGTGTCCTTAGACATGATAGCAGCATGTGCCTCGTCCTGATCCTTGTCCTTGTCGTAGTTGGTCGGAAGCACGCCACGCATGTATCTCTTCTTCCTCTGTTCCTCCCCCCGAAGCGTAATCATGGTCTCCACTTCACTGCCGACCTTCAGCGCGACGAGTCTCTTGGTCGATGGCAGGTAGCGAGGTAGATCGGCATCATCGATATGATAGATATCAGCACGACGCACGAATCTCGAAGCCAGATCTTGATCCGCATGAACGACACGACTCGTCTGGGTCCCAACACCCTGGGCATCGCCGCAAGAATTGGCTGCGAGTTGCATCCCCATGGGTCCAATCACACCTCCACGACCGCTACTAAGACCACCACGAGAGGCGCCTTGATTGGCTTGGTCAACCGGACCGTTGTTCCGAATTCCAGAAGGCAGACCTGATGCAGCAGTGGCCGCCACCAACGCAAAACTCTTCGGCTGTTCCTGATGCATGTTCTCAAGGACAGCAGCAGCCTGGTCCTGGCCATTGTGCTTCTTCTTGTTCCTGTTTCGGTTCCTCCTCCTCTTCATCTGTGCGACACCAACCGGCTCCTGAGTGGGCGCAGTGTACTGATCAGCAACCTCTGCCTGGCCAGTGCCGGCACCAGGTGGAGCAACAGAGCCATGTGAGGTCGCTAACAAACCTCTCAGCCGTTCATTCTCAATTTTGAGCGCTGCATTCTGAATCGGGCGGCACAGTCAGCATTTGGGTCAGGAACCGGTTGCGCACGCAAATGAATAGAAATATGCTAGGGGTGAGGGTTCTGCTTCACTTACCTCAGCCTCGAGCGCGGCATAGTCGGGCGCTCCAGATGCAGGAGCTTGGTCAGGGGCGGGCTCCCAAGGATACGATAATGAGGTCTCCAATGCCCAACGCTCCGATGGCCCCACTAACCAAGCATAAGTCATGTGTGACTCGGCTTCATTAAGGAAATATATGCGATCTGTTTCATCGCAGTAGCAAACCCACTCACGGCGGGGGGCAGGAATCCAGTTCCATTCCCTCTCATCATAATAATACGTTACCTGGTCGTTGAAAGCGTGCGCCGGACAGCAAGCTTCTATCCTCCGACCGCCCTCCATGTTGACAATGTGTGGTGGTGGAGAGATGAGATTTGTCGAGAAGCGGGAAGAAATAACGGGCAGTGCCAAGACCGGCATGCACGCACAAGCCGGACGCGATTGCCACGCGTTTCGCGTCGGCCAACAACGCGTCTCCTCGAGCGCTGCCCAGGTTTCTATATCTTCGAAGCCAGCCTGTCCTGATGTACTTCTTGTACTTCTAGTGAGAGGAAGGCCACAGCCGACCAGAGTTTCGAGCTCAGCAGCGTGGTGTCTCCTTCAGGAGCAGAGCGAACGCGCTGGAAACGTGATATGTCACCATCACAAGTCGCCAGCTACGTCTTTCCGAAAGCATCTCTACGATTCGGGCGCAGCCTGGCAATGTCCTATCGAGGCTCTTGCAACAGTTTGGAGGTTTCCAGCCGCCTCCGCTCCGTCTCATCATCCTCGAGGCGTCGACCAAAGTGACATGCGGCCATTGTTGAGCCAGTGGCCTACCCTGCAATGGCACTCTGCCTTGTGATCATTGCCATTTGTTCACTTGGTCTTGCATATATCACTGGTAGCCTAAGCTCTTGATGGAGAAGGTCAGGTATGGCTGTCTGGACTGTCGTAGTGGTCACAAAGAGATCTTCGAGGGCGACCATCAATTTGCAGTGGAGTCATCAATGGATCGCGGACGCCAGGGCACACATTTTATTAAAGCTTCTTGTGGAATCGATCTCTTAACACCACCGCGCATACGGGGATCTCAGATATTGGCGCAACGTTCGTCTCGGCATCCTCTTCCTGCATGACCACCTCAGCCTTCTGTCCCATCTTAGCCATATTGACGCAAATCAGTAACTGGGGGTCTTCCTCTCACCCTTCTCACTGCCCTTGTCAGTGTCGCCATGTAGAGACTAATCTGGAACTTCTGTGATCTGTTTATTGCCATCGCCAAGGAGTTCGACTAGGCCAGGCCCGATACTGGGCGGCTCAATGTCTACGTTCCGGCGCGCAGCGAGCTTTTCACTCCATGGAACCTGCTGCTATGCATAAAGCGATTCGTTCCATCAACCGCAGCTCCTCGAGAGTTGCGTTTTTTGTCTCCCTTATGTCCTGAAATACCAATCTCGTTGATTTCGTCGTAAATGCCTCCAACCATGGCAATCTTGCCCAAGGCGCATGCTTGTTCCCTCGCTGAAAGAGCACTTTTTATCTTCCCTCCCTCTGTAGCGATCCAGGTGGTTTGTCGGCTCGGCCAGTGCATCATTCACGACCCAACGTAGCCGTAGAGTGTAGCTGACGCCGCGGGGCGAGCGACGGTGGAACGAAGGCGTGGGCGAACTGTATTAAGAGTCCTCGGTGTGCTTCTCCGGGCCGACGATAGCATAGCGGCTGCCATAGCCTACGGATGCGGAGAGGTAAGGAGAGGCATCAGGGATTTGAGACAGTCTCAAGCCAGCATGTCATCTGTGTACGCAATAACATATGGGCTTAATTAACCCCTTTGTTTAAGACTCTGATGATGGTCAATGTCAAAGGGATTCTTGCTCAGGAGATTCAAGTAAGTGCAGCCCTACAGTACCCGGATTTGCCCGATGCAGAAAGCCGCCGGCCAGACTTCACCTCTCACAATCCTGTGCTGCCTTCGCAAATCACACTAGCAAGTCTCTGGCAATCGAAACGCCAGCTTTCGAGAGGGCGCCATTTGAAGCAAATTTGGACTTCTGTGCGTTGATAAAGACAAGAAAAGATGACTACCGCACAGGTGACGGTGTTGGTTGGAAGAGAAGAGACGATGACTGCTTGTCCATCTTCCATAGCCTTTGGCGACTCTGTCTTACTCATACTTCGCTGAGTTGAGCGCTGGACTGTTTGAAGTGATATTTCTGGTGTCCTGCTTGGCCGACGGTGGGCGCCTCGGAGGCAAAGGCGCTGGTTATTGCATACGATGATGGCTTTGCGAACAGAAACTACCTGCCGCCTCGGGGGTCGTGGATTCGATGACTGACATTCGCACTGGTAGACGAAAGACAAATCTGACGATTGACGGAGCCCCAACGCCAGCCTCAGAAATTCCACGGCGGAAGAATATCCGAAACACGAGCATAGAGGATGCAGCGTGTGTAAGGCCATGTGAAAGAACGAAATCTGGACCAAGTCCTGCAGGAATCGAGGTCTAGGCCAAAGGTACCGCTGTGCACGATTGCGACAGCACAAAATGAGACTTCCCGCATTCGATCCCTCTCCATTGGCTTGAGTTGGGAGATTGCTTGACGGCTCCGCGCGACAACACTCTCCAGCAACTCATGTGATTGATGGCCAGACTCTCCGCGCAGCCAAGGATATGGTGAATAGCTCGCCATATGCAGCTTGGAACCTCTTGAAAGCCGATGGAATGCGAGCAGGCTCGGGTGAGGCTCGTCGAAGCATACAGAGATAAAAAGTCCTGCGTTTTGTTTCTGGGTATGAGAGGTATAAGAGATGTTTCAAAGGAGCCGCGACGTATGGAGGGAAGACAATCAATATGTAGGATTGGTATTGGACTGCAGGCTGAGGCAAGTTGCTTGAGACAGCCGTTCGTGGCGGCGGGATTGCCCGCCCAAGCAAGCTGCCGCAAAAGTGAAAATTCTGCGCCCTCCACTGCTCTCTTCCATCATCATCACAATTGTCATTGCGGATCGGTTCCCAAAATGGCAGACAACAACAAAGGTGGTGATAAGAAGAAGGAGAAGCAGGTGAGAAATTATACTGATGAGAAAGCTAAGTCTAGATCAGGCTCTTCTGTCTCAGATACAGGATCGACTGACAATATGTTGCGCGACACGAGAGAAGCGGTCGAGGACTTGCGCGATGGGATCAAATTCTTCAAGTCCAATCCGAGCCTTTCGAAAGATGCCTTGAAGACTCTCCAGAAGGAGCTCGTGGCCGCTAAACGTGAAGTTGCAAAGCCAGCGTCAGCGCCGCGTCGGCCACCTCAGCCGTGGAAGAAGGTGGTGGCGAAGAATAAGGCAGCGGACAATGCTGGTGATGCTCCTCAAAATGCTCAAAAGACTCCAGTGCCAGCGCAGACTACTTTGGAACAGTTGCTAGGCGCTGCTTCGGCCCGCGGCCATCAGTCACCTGCCCAGAGACGCGACAAAACTGACCTGGAGAAGAGCGTCAGAAAATTGCAGAAGCAAAGCCGAAAGCTGTAAGTACGACCCAGCGTGATCCACCGTGTGAGACCACAAGCAAGAACGCTCTGCTACACAGTAGTGACCACGCTTCCAACATCACATTTGCACACCCATGGCCAACCAAGACGGTCGAAGCATTACATCTCTGGCACTACCGCTATTCATTCAAGCCACCACTTCATTCATACAAGATACCTGCTGACACTCCCAACTCCAGTGGTCTCGACTCCGATGATGAGCATGTGCCGTCGGAACCTGCTCCGAAGGATTCGTCTACTCAGCAAGCGACTGCAGCTCCATCGTCCACAGGTCCAGTGCAAGCCAAGGCTACGGCCAAGACGCCCGCGACGAAGTGGGCAGATGAGATGGAACTGCACGCAGATATGGAGCGGGTCACTCAAGGAGCGCGTGAGCTGCTGAAGGATCTCTTCAACGCCAAGCAGGATGCCTGGAACGCGAAGCAGGATATCTCGAATGAACTCGACTCCATGGTCGATGCTAAGCTTGCACCAGTGGACGACAAGATTCGAAACTTGGGCGGTATGACTGACAAGGAAAAGCTGGAGCACCTGAAGGGGCAATTCAACCAGTTCCTCGCCAATCTTCGTAAGGAATCGCCCCCAGAGCAGATCAAGAAGCAAGTCTTCGAGCTCTTCAAGGACGAGTACCACCAAGTCTGTGAGAAGTATTCCAAGCAATCTGCCAGCGAATCATTTGAGAAGTGGGCCGAGACTGCACTCAATCCGTGGCAGGAGGGATTGGAAGGGGCTCGTGATATGCTGGATCGGTCTCGAGCAGCGATTGACCAGAATCAGCAAACTGTCGAAGATATGAATGCAAAGCTCGCCGAATTGACATCTGCGAACAAGTCGCTGCTCCTCGAGCGCAATCTCCTGATGGAGAAACACCCAGATGTTGCAAATTTGGTAAAGCTGGTCTCCAGACAGCAGAAGTCGCTCGCCAATGCCAAAGAGCAAATAATACACCTAACGGAACGAAACCAAGATCTGGAGGAGTATCAGCATCGGCAAGAAAAATGGCAGCAAGATGTCACAGAACACATCAACTTTCTCTTGGAAGCGCACGAGGCTCAAAATGCAACCAGACCTTACGTGCCTGGATTGCACCTTCCAGTAGGTTCTCAAGGTGCGGCACAGAGCTTTGCGTCCGACCCACCCACCGGAGGTAGTAGTCAATCTGCTCGCGGCGGAAGCGAGGCGACTCGCGGACGTGGACGCGGTGATGGTGCTGGACGTGGTCGTGGCGGCAATATTGGCAATGCCAATGTTGGTGGCGGTGGAGGAGATGGTCAAGATCCACAAGGTATCACCCCTGGTGTTGCTCGTGGTGGCCATGCTGCTCGTGGCGGCCATGCTGCTCGCGGTGGCCATGCTGCTCGCGGTGGCCATGCTGCTCGCGGTGGCCATGCTGCTCGCGGTGGCCATGCTGCTCGCGGTGGCTCTTAAATTTCTCCGCGCTTGATCGGCTCCAGAATAGAGCCTTATCCAACCTCTGCCTCAACGGCAAAACTTCTCACTCGTTGAGAGTGAACGCAAAACTGGTATTGTATTCTTCAAGCTCAGCTGATCTTGTTCAAGGTTACAGGCAACGGGCGGTTTTCTTCAATATCAGCCGATCTTGGTCACATCAAGGTTACAGGCAACAGCCGATCTTGGTCACATCAAGGTTATAGGCGATTTTCTTCAAGCTCAGCCGATCTTGGTCACATCAAGGTTATAGGCGATTTTCTTCAAGCTCAGCCGATCTTGGTCACATCAAGGTTACAGGCAAAGAGCGATTTCTTCAAGCTCAGCCGATCTTGGTCATATCAAGGGCACAGGCAAAGAGCGATTTTCTTCAAGCTCAGCGGATCTTGGTCTCATCAAGGTTACAGGCAAAGAGCGATTTCTTCAAGCTCAGCCGATCTTGGTCATATCAAGGTTACAGGCAAAGAGCGATTTTCTTCAAGCTCAGCGGATCTTGGTCTCATCAAGGTTACAGGCAAAGAGCGATTTCTTCAAGCTCAGCCGATCTTGGTCATATCAAGGTTACAGGCAAAGAGCGATTTCTTCAAGCTCAGCCGATCTTGGTCATATCAAGATTACAGGCAAAGAGCGATTTTCAATGTTAGCCGATCTTGTTCAAGGTTACAGGCAACAGCCGATCTTGGTCATATCAAGGTTACAGGCAAAGAGTGGCATTGGAGCAGAGTATAAGCCAGAGCATGAGCATACTCTCGACATTGCGCTCTATAGTTACACATTGACAGTTGTATAGAGATAGCATCAATCAAAATCAAATGTCAATGTCGTCGTACAGTGTCTCCGTCTCGCTTCTCCATGTGCATGTCTTACCTCGCATCCAAGGTGAACATTTCTTGTTAAACGGTAGCTTTCTGCTTTCATTTCCGCCAGCGAGAGTATGGCATTGCTGTTTTCATGTATATCAGATGCTCGACAAGACTAAACTTCAATCAGGCTTGAATGTGTTGCATGCTGAGATGATTCAAAAAGCCCGAGAGATTATAGCTAGCATTATTTATCAACACATCAAATGACATCGTAATTTTGGTCCGTACTGCATTCATCTTCCTGGAGAATGTTATCGACGCCACTTATACCGAGACGGCTAAAGACGGCTTTGAGTAAATTTTGCACCTCATTGGCCAATGCCTTGTGCACCTTGCTTCCCGCTCTCACCGTCCTCCTCTACCAAACATCAACCACACTCCCGTCACGAAAGCTGCGGCATCCTGCGCCATTTGTATCTGATACCTCAGCATACCATCGTCATTCCCTGCTTGGCCCATCGCTATCCGACCCCGATGTCCACTCTTGGTCACACGCGTCGGCTTAAGCCCTTTGTCGCAGGGGTGGTCAGCATGGTATTGTTCTTATAGAGGAAGCCCACCACTGTCTGAAGGTCGGCGGGTTTGCAGGCGTGTCTTCCCTTTCCATTATGTCTCTCGCTTCAACGTTGAGTGCCACGCCGTTGAGCTTATTGACCTTGCTTCCAGTGGCATTGGCTGTATACTTTGTCGGCATAGTTGTGTACAGACTATATCTACACCCACTTGCGAAGTATCCTGGTCCATTCCTGGCCAAGATCACGGATCTCCATCAGACCTATCATGCGTTGAAAGGAGATCGACATCTCGAGTTCTGGAGATGCCACGAGAAATATGGCCCAGTTGTGCGTTTCGGACCCAACAGCTTGTCTTTCAATAGCAATACCGCATTGAAAGAGATCTATGGCTTCAAGTCCAATGTGCGGAAGGCAGACTTCTACCAGGCTTTTTGGGCGAGCAAAGATGCTTTCAGCACTCATAGCTCTATAGACAAGTCCGTCCACGCCAGGAAACGCCGAGTTCTCAGCCAGGCCTTTTCAGATGCCGCCATCAAGTCAATGGAGAATCATATTCTGGCTCACGTACGCCAATTCTGTCAGAACCTTGGAGGCTTGACGACATTCGGAAGTGTTCCAAATTCCGAGAGCAAAGGTTATGGTGAGCCAATTGAGATCTCCGATCAGGCCAATTACCTTACCTTCGACATCATGGGCGATCTCTGCTTTGGTAAAGCTTTTGGCATGCTGGAGCGCCCCGGGAATCGCTTCGCAATCGACCTCATCGGAAACGCAGCTCATCGACATCTGATCTGCGGCACGTATCTGCCCATCCACGAGTGGCATCTTGATAAATTTCTCTTCCGCAAGATTGCAGCCGGACGTGCGCGATACATGCAGTACTCAAAGGGACAAGCGGCAGAACGCATGAAGATGGGCCTGGATGTAGATCGAAAGGACTTCTTCTACCATCTGCTGAAGGCCAAAGATCCAGAGACTGGAAATGGGTTCACTACTCCAGAGCTTTGGGGAGAGTCAAACCTCCTCATCATTGCTGGATCGGATACGACGTCGACTGCCCTAGCTGCGACGATCTTCTACTTGGCACACAATTCTTCGAAGCTGCAGAAAGCGAATGAAGAAGTAAGAGGAGCGTTTAGCAACGTCGAGGACATCAACATCGGGCCCACACTTGGCTCGCTGCAGTACATCCGTGCTTGCATTGATGAGGCTATGAGACTCTCGCCGTCAGTTGGCGGACTTTTGCCTCGACAAGTGCTTCCTGGCGGAGTGGAAATCGATGGACAGCTCATCCCAGAGGGTACGATTGTTGGCGTACCCCACTATTCCATCCAGCACAATGCCTCGTACTATCCCGAGCCTTTCGTGTTCCAACCAGAACGCTGGATCGCAAACCCTGGTTGTGGAGTGACTACAGAGTCCGTGGCTTTGGCGCAATCGGCATTCTGTCCTTTTAGTATTGGCCCACGAGGATGCATTGGCAAAGGTGAGCAGATCCCCGGAAACACAGCGAGAGTTGATGCTGACTGAGAATTTAGGTATGGCATATCACGAGCTTACCCTGACCCTAGCACGCATGCTGTTTCTGTACGACATGCGTTTGGCTCCAGGAAGCAATCTTGGAGAAGGAAGACCAGATTTGGAGCATGGACGGCGAAGAGCGAGTGAGTTCCAACTGAAGGACACATTCACGAGCATGAAGAGTGGCCCGATGGTGCAATTCAGAGCGAGACAATGAGAAGATTTTATGTCCATGAAATCGATGCCACAGGAGTATGAGTGCGTTCCTAATAAGAAATATTTCCACTCGTACTGTCTATGACCGGCATATGTGGCATTATTGTAGTCAGAGTACATGGTTCAACCCGCGAGCTCCACAGCCTCGGCAACCGATCCACTGCCGTAAGTGCTGCCGCGCGAAGGCTGCACACCTGACCCCCGCATTAAATCCAATCGCATCCTAGATAGGGACAACCACTTATTACTGGCATCAGGAGCCGTAGTATGCTGTACTTGCATCTGCGTAAGCATCAGGATCTTCGTTCGGATTTGCAATGGGCGAGAAGATTCCAGTAGCAGAAATCACCAAACATTCTTCAGCCGAGGACTGCTGGATTGTAGTCAATGGCAAAGTCTACGACCTATCCAAATTCGCCCCAGAACATCCTGGAGGCGCAGAGAGTGAGCTCAAAACCGATACCATCGCAAACCACGTTATACTAATGCTTGTCGACAGTGATCTGGAAATGGGCAGGCAAAGACGGCACAAAAACCTACAACATGTACCACTCTGCCAAACTCATTGAAGAAACCCTCTCTGCCTCCGAAAAACTTGGCGACTTCGACGAATCCACAATCACAGAAACCTGGACCCAAGCCCAAAAAGAACAAACCGAACCTGCACCGGCGGATCCAAACGAAAAACCTCCTTTATTTTCCCTCATCAACCTCGATGATTTTGAACGAGCTTTCGAGAAAGCCGGTTCCAAGAAGGCTTGGGCGTACATCTGGGGCGCTTCCAACGATCTTCTTTCTTTAAATGCGAACAAGTCCGCCTGGCATAAACTCTGGTTCCGTCCACGTATCATGCGTGACGTCTCAAAAGTCAAGACGGAAATGACGATGCTGGGAGCAAAAGTCCAAATGCCAGTGTGGATCGCACCCATGGGCATCGCAAAAACCGCGGGGCCTGAAGGAGAAACCGCTTTAGGTGCTGGAGCTGCCGCAGCAGGGATCGTTCACTGTATGTCCACGGTTGCGAGTATGAGCATCGACGATATCATCGCAAGTGTACCGAAGGATTACCCGTACTTTTTTCAGCTGTATGTCGATAAAAACCGTCAGAAAACTGAAGCTACGCTCAGAAAGGTGGCTGGGATGGAACAAATTAAAGCCGTTTTCGTCACGGTGGATTTACCGGTTGTGAGTAAGCGGGAAGCGGATGAGAGGTTGATCGGGCAAGAAACTTCGAGTGTGTATGCCAGCGGGCAGAAATCTGGAGTCGATAAGAAAGGTGGTGGGATGGCGAGGATGGGAGCATCTTTTATCGATTGGGCGCTGACTTGGGATGATATCCCTTGGATTAAGAAAGTTTCGGGGAAGCCGATTGTTGTGAAGGGGATTCAGAGTTCTGCTGATGCGAAAATTGCGATGCAGATGGGTTGTGAAGGGATTGTGGTTTCTAATCATGGGGGGAGGGCGCTGGATAATTCTCCAGGGACTTTGCTCATTTTGCTGGAGCTGAGGAGGGATTGTCCGGAGGTGTTTGAGAAGATGGAAGTTTATGTTGATGGCGGTGTGAGGAGGGGAAGTGATATTTTGAAGGCGGTTTGTATTGGTGCCAGAGGGGTAGGTGTTGGCAGGCCGTTTCAGTGTGCGATTCTGTATGACCGGGAGGGTGTGGAACATGCGGCGAATAGTGAGTCTGGTCGTGGGAATCGGTTTGGTGGGAATTTCGGTGCTGACTATATCGCAGTCCTTCAAGACGAGCTCGAGACTGCTATGCGATTGTGTGGTGTGACTGATTTGGAGAAGGTGAGAGGTGATCTGTCCTATTTGAACACCAAGGAACTCGAGCAGCTGCTGCCACCGAGGCCAGCGGCAAATTCCTGGTTCTCGTTCGGCAGCAGACAGTCAAAGCTGTAAAATAATCTTTCAGAAGTACTGTCGCGACTCTCTAGAATAGAACGCTTGAATAAGTACGTGTCGAACTCCTAGAAGTTCAAAATGCTGAGAGATAAGCGTCCAAATGGCTTTATGTCCAAGTGTCCACTGCCGCGAGAATGTTACAGCGTCTTGTCGAAATGTGCACGACGGCTTCAACGACATGAGCGCAATGGTGATGAGAGTCAACGCTCCCCTGTAGGGAGGCCCATACATACCAGATTGTCAATGGAGGTTCTTACCGCCTCCTCCACTAGCCTACCTCTACGACCAACTTTCTATGTTTGCCCTCGCACTATACTCGCTGTTAACTCGTAAAATGCCTCTACGTATCGATCTCTCGCTATAGAGGGCTTAGATAACCTTATAAGTTAATAGCGGTACTATATAAGGCGAAATCCTATAGCACCTTATATAAGAGACTAGTTACTAGATAGCTCTTTCTACGCTTTATCGGAGGCTTAAGGAATAGGGGGTTAATTATAGCTATTACGCTTACTATAACCGAGTTAATAATATCGAGGTACTAAAGATCCGAGTCGTATATACCTTCTCTACTTTACGCTTAACTAATAAAGAAGCGGTTAAAGTACTAAAGATAGATAGATTTAATATTAGCTAGCGGAGATATTAACGGATACGTTAAGAGCTTAGATTAAAGAAGGTATTATCGCGAGATAGATAGATAGAAGCGGAAGAGGAGATAGTAAAGGTCTTATAGGAAGAGCTCGAGAAGTCTACGGTAGAGTCCTTCGGCCGACGGTACCTATATACCTATATTAGGTCTAAATATAACATTATTAGCAGAGATCGGCTGTATCGTATAGCTTGCTTACTAAATCCTAAAGGGTTGCGAGTCCGCCGCGAGCGGGCGCGAGAGCACTATAGAGCGATTATTATACTAGGCCCTAGCTACGCAATATTAATAGATACTTACTATAAATTCGAGTATTAGGGGATATAGATCTACGCAGCTATTAATGTCTACTCGCGTTATATTATCTAGGTCTACGTAGGGATTACTAGCTATATAGCTATATCCGTACTCGCTTAATATATTACAACGATTAAGAATAGTAGTATAATGCTATAGATTATCCGATTAGACCGTAGGGCGGAAACGATTCTAGCCGCGGACGCTTACTATACGACTCGCCTTGCGACTCGCCTTACGACTCGCCTTGCGACTCGTAGTAACCCGGATCCGGAACTAGAACTAGAACTAGAACTACTAGCTTTCGAAGACTGCTTCAAATACGGTACGAGCAAGATAAACTAGCAGATCGAGGTATAGTAGCGCTAGTAAGTACCCGCATTAAATAGCTAGAGGGGCTATTTTTACGAGTTGCTACGCGAGTTACTATACGATACTAAATTGCTAGCCGATCGGATTGCCTTCCTTGTAGTCTATATACTAATTATGCGCTATAAAGTCCTCGAATTTGTTTACCTCTAGAATAGCTATCGGATTAGGAAGTAGGCTAATCGACTATACGTCGTACTAGGTATTCCGCATATTCTATACTATTATCTAGAGCTAAGCGGGCATTCTTATTAAGGTATTCCTATACCTAACGGCGTACTTAATAATATAGAGGAAGACCTTTAAGGATTCGGTATATATTAGATTCTATAGTACTCGCTATAGACTCGCTATAGGCTCGCTAATAGACTCGCTACTTCCTAGATCTTAAAGCCTACCTACCCGAGGCTACGCTTTCTTAGTATTAGATAGCATTATAGATTTATAGCTTCTCGTATCTAGTAAGTAGTAGCGAGAATAGCGATAATATAGAGCGCCTTTACCGCTCTACCTACTTACTTCTTCGACGGCTAGCTAGGGAGTATATAGCTATAGGGTTAGAGCCGGAACTAATAGAGTTAGATAAGCTATTAGCAGCACGTAGTTAGTTAGCGGCGGCGCGGAATTAGGAAGCTAGGATAATTAAGTTTGTAAATAATTTATACTAATCGGCGATCTACGAGCCGGCCGCGAGTATATAGCGAGTCGCTTTTTCTAGTTCGATTTTATCTATAACCTTCTTAAACCTCTGCTATTTCTACCTCCATTTATCTAACAATACCTACTAATCTAATATTGGCTAGTAACCGGGCCTACATACCTAGGCTAAGTTTTAAGCCTATATAAGAGGCCTCCTTCTATATTGTAGATAGAGTACCAACCTCGTATAGCACATTGTTTATATTACACTTCTACAATGCCTATATTGCAGGGCTCTAGTTATTAGCCTAAGCAACCGTCTTGTTATCCTATTATGCTAAACAGGGCTGCCTATATTGCTATAGGTTATATTACCCTCGGTAGCCTATACTATTACTACTAGTAGTAGTAGTAGTTTTAGTTTCCGTCCTTTATTAAAGCCGAAGGTAGGGCTATCTCTTTATATCTAACAGGTTCGGGTATATTGAAGGTAGTCTCTAGGTACGAATAGCTATAACCGAAGCGAGGGTACGATAAGAGCCTACGATACGGACGATACCGAAGTATCTTAAGGGGCTATTACGACAAGCAGAGAAACCTCTTAACGAGGGCATCGCTTTGACCCCGAAAAGCTACAAACCCTTAGGACTGTTACAGCTTAGGGCCTAGTCTATAGCTATAGCTAGCTTCTAAGGACTCGGCTCCGGGTCGAAGACCTATTTAGTACCGCTTGCTCGAGATAAGCCCCGCCTAAGGAGGAGATAGACTAATTACCTATCGGCCTTACTTAGTTTGCTAAGACTATTAATTAATAGCAAATACGGCTTGTAGGTCGGATAGCCGGGGAGTCCCCTATTAATCGGGTAGGGCGATCCTAGATTCGTAGCCTCGCTTAGATAGTGCTTAGCCTTCTACTAGAAAAAGAAGGCTACTGCCCCCCCGCCTAGCTAAAGGAGATACAAGCTAGTTTCTAGGATCTAGGTATAAATAGAGATTGTAGTCTCTCCCTCCGAGCGGCTTTCGTCCGATACTAAACTTAGCTCCTAGAGGTAGTTAGGCGACCCCTAGGAGGCTAAATCCTAATACTACCCCGGGGGTAATACTAGGAGAAACAGCCTAATATACTATTCTCTCGCGCAGCAATATTACAACAAACTAAACAAACTAAAGACACTAAAAACACTTTTATATAGTATTTCATTTCAACTATTTTATAACAATCGAATAAGCTCTAGCTCTAGCGAAAACGAGTATTAAGAATTAGCGGAATCCTCTAAATCCGAAACCGCCCCTAATCCTATTAACGAAGAAATTAGGCGGCGACTAGTTAATATAAGTAAGCCTCCTACGCCTTCTACGCTAGAGGCGCTCTATAATGTTATTATAAAGATAATAGAGAAGCAAACTAAACTTCTCCGTTAAAATAAGCGTCGCCCGCTAGAACTAGGGAGTACTATAAACCCCTTGTTCGAAGGGTAGAACGCTATAGCATATATTAAGCGCTTTAAGGAAGGCTTAGTTAATTACGAGCTCGATAGAGAATCCGACTAGTATAAGATTCGGTCCTTTACGAGGACTACCTCCTCTAAGCTTTACCGAACCCTTAAAACCCTAGTTAGCTACCTAGAAAAGGACGACAAGTCTAATGCCAACTAAGAGACCTTTAAGATAGCCTTTATAAGGGAATATCGGGAGCGCGATAGCCGTCGCATTAAAGGCAGTCGTACGTAGCTCGAGTCCCTCTACTTAGTAAGGCGTACTAAGGATAACGACCTAAAGGGGTATGTCCGCGAGTTTATCGAGTTAGTAGACGGTATCGAATAGAGTAACCTCGAAAACTCTTAGAGAACGAGGCTACTCCTCTAGGGATTGCCGTAGCCTATAGCTTAGCGTATCTTCCGTCGCTATAAGCTTAGCGAGTCCGATCCTAAGAGTTTTAGGAAATACAAAGAGGTCCTAGTATATATTAAGGCCGATATTAATAGCATAGCCGATACGAGGAAGTTTATCTACGGCGAAGACCGGAATAACCTAGCGTAGGTTAGGAAAGAAGCCTTAGGAAGTAAGGGACCTAAGTTCCTTCCTAAATCGCAAAGTAGTCCTAAGACCGTAACTCCTACTATTACTAAGTACTCTTAGGATGTCGCGGACTTAGCTAAATCCCTAGCCTAGCTAAACCTAAATACGAAAGCATTGCAGCGAGTTAGGGAAGTTATTAATGCTACTATACTAGGCAATATACTACTAGTCTACTAGGTTTTAGATCCTAACTACCCTAAAGCCCCTTTAGTAGATGTCTACGCTATGCGGAAGATCTATTCTAACTTAGATAGCAAGTGCTAGATGTATAGCGGGTTTAAATATGTCTAATCGTCCTGCCCTATCTAGAAAGAGCTTCTTAAAAGGAAGCTTATTATGCAAGTAAACGGCCGATTCTACTATATAGATACCGGCGACAAGATTAATTTCGAATAGGATCGGAGAGCCCTAAAGCTGCCTTAGCTAAAGACCCTTCTAGAAAAGAAGTATAGCGGCAAGATCGAGTTTAAGGACACTAGGAACAGTACCCTAGCCGCTATTACTAAACGAGAAACTTAGAAGGTTAGGGTAAAACAGGTTAAGGAGCGAAGCAGTAATAGTACTACTAAGCCTATTAAAGTTAACTTTGTTTCTTAGGATCCGGACGCAGTTACTAATGTTTACGCGGTTACTAAGAACAGTGTAGATGTCTACGCTACTACGCGGTCTTAGACCTAGTCCTAAAACAAGGGCAAGAGCCCTTAGAACCCTACTCGCCCTAGTGCGGCAGCCCCTACTAGGGTACTAAAGAACAAGGCGGCCGACAAGGCTAAGTAATAGCGAGAGTTAACCGCTAAAACTAAGACTCTCTAGATAGCTATAGACCGTGCTACCCGATTTAGTACCGTACCTAGTACTCTACCTATAGAAAGCCTAGTCGTCCTAGAGACTCTAGAGGTCGATATAGAGGATGTTACTACTAATATTAGTAGTACCCTAGGTCTAGCTAACCTACCGGCCTATAAGCGAAAGTTATCCGATCTAAAGAGCTTTCGCTTTAATAGATATATAAAAAAGTATAGTACTAGCCTAGCTAACTCCTTAGATATAAAGGTAAACGCTCTCTTCTAGGCTTTATAGTTCCTAGACCTTAAGTCCAATGTGTCTATAGGAGAGCTACTAGCGTACGGTTTGCCTACTAACCTATTCTAGAGCCGAATCCCTAACGATGCTACCTTTATAAAAGATCTCGCTGCCCTCCGACGAAAATAGGGACGAGAAGACTATATCGACGTCTCTTCCCTATAGTTCCTTCCTAAATTTTCAGGTACTTAAGAGTTAGTAGAAGGCGAATCGGTCACCTACGAGAACTAAGAGACTATCGATAATGCTAACGAAGAGGGAGTTAAGGAGATAGGCCGAAGGGATAGTAATAATCCCGACCCTACTCTAGTTTTAGTCTCTATTAAGGCTGTCCGGTTTACTAGCTAATAAATCGGTCGAGCAGGACCTCCTCGACCTAAGGAACTTTATTCTATCCCTAATAATATAGACCTTTCCGCAGTTACTCGTTCCTTCGCCGTCGTTCCCGCTATCTATATTTAAGTTACTATCGGGAGCTATAGTTAATAGATGCTAGCAATGCTTAATAATAGTTCGGAGTTACTTATTATAAGTAAGCGTTAGGCTAAACAACTTAGGCTACTAATAAATAGAGACATTTCCCTCGGTATATAGGGAGTAAATAGGGAGGTTGCGCTAGTAGGTGCTTGCTATAATGTTATAGTAGACGCCTTCGGTATATGCTTTTCCTTTACCTTCTAGATTGCCGCCGACCTAAACACGCTAATTATTCTAGGTCGACTATAGTCTCGTATAACCTAAGGTATTTAGCGCAACTGCGACGATAGCTCCTAGGAGGGAACTATCGCTAACTAGAAGGGCAACCGAGTCGTATTTACTAGTTATATCGGCAACACTAGCTACAAGTCCTACGAGGATATCTTTACTACTTCTAAACGGTCTTCGGGAAACGCTACGGCGCGGTTATAAGACCGGCAATCTGCGCTATAAGTTAGTATAGCTTAAACAGGTCATTTCTAGAAGTGCGCCGCTCTATACGTTAAGGCAAGTTTCTAGGTTCTATACTAAAAAGACGAGTGCTCGAAGCGATAGCGAGCATAATATAACGACTACCTATACCTACTATATAAGTTAAGGTGATAATGCTATCTTATATATCGTTACCGGAGGTCCGGAGGCATTACTACCGGACGCGGGTCTACCCGAACTAACTAATTAGAGCGCGAGTCTAATGCTACCCCGGGGGTGTTATTACGAATCTAACGTTTTCGCCGGCGTTATAAATTAGGACTACTAGCTATATACCTATCGACTTAAGGAAACTTCTAAAGAAGTTTACGCGCTATTTTGTTGCGCTAATCTCTAGGCCTAGCGACAAAGAGAGAGAGCTCGGGTTCGATAATCGATTGGTATATATACCCTATATAAGAGGGTAGCTAATAAGATTAAGCCCGTAAAGGGCAGCGTATATATTACCGATAGGTCTAATCCTAGCGGAAATCCTAACTAGCGATAGAAGTGCCTTAATTAGGAGGCGATACTACTACCTAGGGATAGTCCGTACGATTAGAAATATATTACTAAAAAGTTCTCTACTATCCCTAGAGGGTTAAGGCTAATAGAGGAGAGGCTTGCGAAAATCAAACCTAGTATCGAGCTTTCGGATCGTAAACTGGATTTACTATACGAGCTTCTGTATAATCGCGAGGCCGTATTAGTATATAACTTTACTTATCTAGGCAGGATAAATCCGGAGGTTGCCCCTCCGTAGAGGATCCGAACGATCGAATATAAGCCTTAGGCCTACCTAGGTTTTAAGTTAAACCTAAGCCTACGAGGTATAGTTAAGGATATAATACGACAGCGTATAAAGGCTAGCACCTTAGAACCTTCCTATGCCTCGTATCGCAATCTATACTTCCTAGTTTAGAAGAAGACAGCTCCTAGGGAACTAAAGAAGTACCGCCTAATTAACGCTATATAAAAGTTTAATGCGGTTACGATTAGAGATACTAACCTTCCTCCGGAGACTAATAGGTTCTCGGAAGCCTTTGCTAACTGTATTATAGCCTTACTAGTTAACGTTTTCTCGGGCTACGACTAAATTCCTCTCTACCCTAATAGCCGGGACCTTACTAGTTTCGAGACACCTCTTAGGCTATATAGACAAACTACCCTTCCCTAAGGGGCAACTAACTCCGTAGCCCAGTTCGTTCGTATTATAAACTAAGTCCTCGCGGCCTATATTTCCTATATAGCGATGCCTTTCCTCGACGACATCGGCATTAAGGGCCCTAAAACTAGGTACGATAATAAAGAAGTAGAGCCTAGCATCCGCAGGTTCTTTCTCGAATATATTTAGAACCTCGATAGTATCCTTTGCGACCTAGAGCGAGCTAACCTAACAGTGTATAGGGAGAAGCTTTAGCTCCTATACAAACGAATAAACATTGTCGGGTTTGTAACTAATAAGAACGGCCGCTATCCTAATAATATACGGGTCCTAAAGATAGTGTCCTAGCCGGATCCTACCTATTAGAAGGATGTCCGAACCTAGCTTAGAGTAGTTTCCTACTTCCGTATCTAGGTCGAGAACTTTGTATTAGTATATAAGCCCTTATACGCCTTGCTTAAGAAGGATGCTAAATTCGA